ACAATGCTTGTGAGAACATAAGGATAAAAAGGAGCTTGTCATGAGGTCAAAACACACACATTTAGTGGTAGAAGTGGGGAAATGCAAGCGCACTGTATTCATTGCTCCCAAACCGGTCTGACCACTCTGGTGCGATGCCTACAAATGAGTTTTATAACTTTGCCTTACAGAAACTTTGAGACAATAATTGAAAAGAATATATTTATCTTTTATATAAGCAAAGGAGAGAGACCAGAGAGAGAAGGAAGAGGGGGCGACAGTAGCTCAGTTGGTAGAACACTGGTCTTTGGACCCGATGGTCGTAGGTTCGAGCCCACCACGACCCATGTCATCTGCTCCCACTGATGTCTCTGGGCAAGACACTTAAGCCCACATTGCCTGAAGCCCCTGCTCAAAGACCAAGGCCATCTAGTTGATGACAGAGAAGCCATCTTCCCGTGGACTCACCACCTGCAGTAGGATCAGCGAGGGACTGGTGCTAGACTTGGGTGGCAGCTCTGATTGCCGTAATGCATCATGGGATCACCCTTGCGTGCAAACAAGCTACGGAGCTCACTTTTGCACAAGGGTGGTTTTTAAAGGTGTGAGGGCCCTCGCCTCTTCTCCCTAAGTATTGGGGCACCCTACAACCCTCGCAGGCACACTCAAAATCTAGGGCAAGGGTGAGAAGAGAGAGAGAGGGAGATCAGAATCAGATGGAGCGAAACACAAGAGATCATGAAATTCAATGTAATTTATTTTAAATTACTAATAAACATTGAACAGGATATGTCCGCTACGCCTCTATTGTAAGAAACCTCTTTTGGCACAAATATGCCCATTATGTCTTTGTTAGTGTGATTTCTGTGGTTGTTTTTGTGCTGGAGGAACCCCCCCGAGGAGAGCGGAATGACAGTGCTGCTAAATGAGGTGGGACACGAGGAAAAATCCACTGAAAGAACAAGTTATAAATAGCATCACCGCAAATGAATCCAATTTAACCATTTCATGCAACTGGCAAAAACAGTGCATTCAAAATCACCTTCAAATTATATAATAGTATTCAATCATGTCATATTGTGTTTTTAACCATTTGACAGCATAGTTCCTCACCAAAAACAGTCTCTGCTCTAGTCTCTGCTCTAGCCTCTGCTCTAATTTTGTCTCTGCTTCTCTCATCTATTGAAGACGTTACACACATTGGACAAGAACTTGGAACATAGAGTTGTTTGGATTTCATATGTGCAGTGAAAGAGAGAGGGGAAGGTCCTTTGTTCAAAGATAATCACATTACAGGCTTCAAATGAGAAGGAGATGGGGGAGTTTCAGTTTGGAATGGGAGACTTGCGTTCCCTTCTGTGGTAGGAGAGCCTTTTCAGTTTCTATTACATGTTTTTTGTCACAAACTGGTGTAAAACTATGTCACCAAGGAGAGAAGGTGGTTTTATTAGGTTCTATTATTTCTGTGATGATAGAATTAAAGTCATAAAACCTATTCTCAGCCTGTTTATGGAAGGCTCAACAATTGATGAATTAAAACGAAACTCCAGTGATCCAAGATTCAAATCAATGGCTTGTGCTCAGTAGCGTATGGGACAGTCATGGGGACTGAAAGATTAGCGGAACTCGCCCATATTTAGGCATCGTCTGGTCCTCCCAGTTCAGCGCAGTGAACGAGCTCCCATGATGTTTTGGGCCAAATATGCGTGTGTGGCTCTTCTGCATGTGCACAGAGGGGTTCGGCAGCGCTCTGACCAATCAGGCGCTGCTAGTCAGAGCGGAGCAAGAGTGGGGGCCAGACGAGCAGAGTTTGTTTCATTAAAGTGTATATTCATATAAAACCGAAGCACTAAAATCCCCACAAAATCCGACCTGTCTGAAATCTGTAGGGTCTCTGTCAGCTGAGGTCCAGCTGTTTTAGTTTACATTGAGTTCTATGGGACTTTTTTCTGGGTTGCCCTCGTGAATTTAGTCGGCAGTACCACAGGCGCCCCCTGTGCCCATTGGTTGGACAGCTGTATGCTAGTAATACCCTATCCAGATATTATTATAGATCTATGTTTAAAACACTTACAATGCAAACACAAGCGGTCTCAATACAGATTCCAGGGGAACACCACAGGATAAACCTCAAGTTCAATTAGATTAATAAAAGTAAAGTGGCTCTCTGATCACTTCCTTTGGTCCCCCACTCTGGTGTCTCTCTCTGGTCCCACTTTTTGGTCCCTCTTTCTGGTCACTCTCACTAGTCTCTCCCAGAAGTCTCTCTTCTGTCTGGTCCCTCTTTCTCTCTGGTTCCACTCTCTCACTGGTCCCTCTCTCTGGCCCCTCTTTCTCTGGCCTCTCTCTCTCTCTCCTCTCTCTCTGGCCCCTCTCTGGCCTCTCTCTCTCTGGTCCTCCACCTGTCTGGTCCCCCTCTCTCTCTCTCTCCTCTCTCTCTGGCCCCTCTCTGGCCTCTCTCTCTCTGGTCCTCCACCTGTCTGGTCCCCCTCTCTCTCTCTGGCCCCTCTCTGTCCTTTCTCTTTCTGGCCCCTCTCTCCTGTCTATCAAGAATTGCATTGGTAAAAATATTGTAATCAGATTGGATCACCATCTTTACTTGACACATGCACCCATTTCTAATCATTCCAAAGACTAAATACATTTCTTTGAGCTCATTTTGCTGTTGTAATTTGCTTGTATAGATCCATAGACTTCCGTGCTGCCTTTAGGGTCGGTAGTGCACACATAGACAGATGCTGCAGGATTAAAGCTGCACCATGTGTTAGACAAGAGCAGGTCACAGCACTTAAGAGCAGGGAGAGATTACAGCAGCTATGGCCTGCGTTCATGCGACATCACAACGTTCAAAGAGCCTATTGTTTCACATTGGGGTGGTGGTGCTCATGGGCAAAGTTTTGGTCCAACTCTCTCTGGCTCCTTTAACTTACATGTAAACATAAACTCCTCCAGCTCAGTAACCGTTAGTGTCACACTCACCATTTTGGGCTTTAAAAAAATCTGATTCTGGTGTAAATACTTTGATAGTGTCTTAGAAAATCCAGATTTGAGCCATATAAGGATTGATCAGAGAAGCTGTAGACACTTTCTGTCTGAAAATGCTGATCTAAGAACCTGACAGAGGCCAGAAACACATGAAAACTAGTGATGGAGGCAACTGTAAAACAGTTACTAGGCAGTGCTTTAAGTGGGCCGCCACCTTTCTGTGGGCTATGTGCTTTTGGCTTAACGGTACTTACCGGTGCGTTCGTTTGCACATCTGTTTTGTTATTTAGCTGCACTGCCGCTTTTCTGAGCGCCTTTCACATTGCACGCTTCCTACTTCTTCTCACAGAGAGCAGAGACTGTATTACCCATACGGGTAATACAAAAAAGGGAAAAAAGCCACCAGCACCTCTTTTGGCCCAAAAGACGTGTCGGTACTCTTATTTATGCACTGGAGCCAGGGACATAGATTTCATCGCATCAAATTCTATTGTGGTTTGAAAGTTAGGTAACCTTACAGAAACAGAATACTTTTGCTTCTGTCTAAACTTTAGTCAAATCATTACAGACCTTTCTGCCTTCATTTGACTGGCAAAACATTCTTCCCCAATTCAACTTGAAACTCTCTCTGGACCTGCAGTTATAGTAGTAGAAATAGCTGTAGTATTATTACTAGTAGTAGCAGTATTAGTAGTTGTAGTTGTAGCAGCAGTAGTAGCCTGGCCTTAGCCCTCCATACACTCCGGTCAATCATCATTTCCCTGCATGTAAAGTCTGGGTCTGGTCCCTGTGTTTGCAATTACATCGGTTGAATTCCCTACGACCAATCAGTGAGCACGGGAGGCAGGTGTTTTAATTAGATGTGGGTGACGTCAAGAGTTTGCGCCGAACAGGCAGGTTGTAGTTTGGTAATGGCGAAGAATGCGATAGTAAAGTAATCCGGTCTAGTTCTATCAAGAAATTGAAGCTGGAGCAAGAGGAATATTTAGCAAATATAATTGCTGGCAAAGATTGTGGCGCTACTCCCCACGGGCTCTGTAAGCGGCAAAGGAGATGGCTAGGCTAAATGCTAACGACTCACTCGGTGCATTACAGACAAACTCAGATCCAATCGTTTCAATCTGCAAAATGAGTTAACGCCTCCCACCTGTAAACGGAGCTCAATGGAGCACCTCCAGACCTAAGTACGAAATGTAATTTGTACTATGGTGTGGTATGATATTTTACTTTACCTGTTGATATCTTACTGTATTATTACATATCCATTTGATAATTCTCCCATTCAAGTCACTTTACCTGCTGATATTATTTCTGATGTTTATTGTGCTCATATTCATATTCTCCGCGGCTAATATAGACATCTGTAAATACTTCCGAACCAAGTGCAATTATAGCCCAGAGTTTATCTCATTTTATTTTATTTTATTCTTATCTTAATTTTATTGTCTATTACCTTAAATAATAGACTATTTGATGTGTGCAATCTGAGTGCTCTTTTTTCCTTTCTCTGCTGTAATGTGCGCAACGATGACACTGAAATTTCTCAACTGTGAGACTAATAAAGGCTATGGCAGTAGTAGTAGGTGGCGTAGTATTGTAAAAAAAAAAATAGTAGTAGCTGTACGGTTGTGAGTGTGTACGCTGGATTGCCGTGTGTTGAATCTTTTGACAGATAAATCAATAAAAATGAATAATTTATGGAAAAGTATATTGATCTGACGTTCACTGGGTTTGATCATAGGTCAAATCTGAGCCTCGTGTACGGTTTAGAGATGTTTGCGTTTCAAATGAGACTGTAGAATTCTGAGCTCCACATATGAGGGATATGCTAAACATATGTTGGAAAGTGTCTATATTGCTCTCTCTTATCCCTCTCTCTCTATCTGGTCTCTCTCTTTTTCTGGCATCCCTCTCTCGAGTCTCTTTCTCCGGGACCTCTCTCTGGCCTCTCTGCCCTCTCTCTGCTCTCTCCTGGCTCATCTCTGGTCTCTCTCGCTGGTTTCCTCCACTGACGTCCCCCTCTCCTCTCTCCTCAGGTGCCCACAGATGGGTCCATGGGTCTTCAGGCTGAACCTCAAGTCGCCATGTTCTGTGGGAAGCTCAACATGCACATCAACGTCCAGACGGGAAAGTGGGAGAGCGACCCGTCAGGGAGCAAGAGCTGCATTGGCACCAAAGAGGGAATCCTGCACTACTGCCAGGAGGTGAAAGACAGAGAGAGACAACAGAGAGAAATAGAGACAACAGGAAAACTTGTATATGAGAGAGAGATCAGAGAGAGAAACAAGAGAGAGTCCAGTGGGAGAGACCATAGAGAGAGAGAGAAAAAACAGCAAGAGAGACCAGAGGGAGATCAAAGGTAGACCAGAGATAGAAAGACCAGAGAGAGTGACCAGAGAAAGAGACCAGACCATTGTTTCAGCATTAATAAAAGATTCACTACATATAAACATGTGAAATGTATAGAAATGCTTGTAGTTGTATCATTTCTCACCACTTTGTATCATTTCTCACCAAAATATGCAAACTATGTGTATTATGTAAATCAAAATGAAAAAATTACATGTAAAAGAGCAGGATTATTATTGCAACAACAAATCGTCAGTAGGGTAAAACCTGTCTCACAAAGGTCTAATCCCAGCTCACGTTCCCTATTAGTGGGAAATCAATCTTTGCGGCCATGAGAATCACCGTACAGATTACTCCTAACCCCTGCTCTGAACTGTCTCTCTCTCCCCCTCGTCTCCTCAGGTTTACCCCGAGCTGCAGATCACCAACGTGGTGGAGGCCAATCAGCCTGTCACCATCCAGAACTGGTGCAAGAAGGGACGCAAGCAGTGTCGCTCCCATCTACACATCGTGGTCCCCTACCGCTGCCTGGGTAACACCACAGCCACAACATAACACCACAGCCATATACCAGAGACCATATCAGGAAGGTTGCATGGTGATCACACAAGCCACTCTTCCACAAGCTCTACTCTACCCTGGCCAATATGGAGAAACAAAAAAATCCTGATTATCCTTATTTTTCTACATCTCGATATGCCATCTCTATATAGGATAAATAAACCCCTAAAAACTACTGACAAAAACAAATTGCCAAGTTCCAAATACTTTTTTTTAATTGAATCTCAAAGAGGGAGTTGGTTCAAGTAAGAACAAAGTGCTTCTGCAATATTTGTTTTAATTTCCTGTTTATCATTTAAATAAATAAGTTAAATAAATTACCAGTAAATAGGTGTACCTGAGCTATGAGACTGAATGAGAAAAAAACGTTTTGGTCACCCACAAACAAGTAAGATTTGTGGCTCTCACAGACCTGTAACTTCTTCTTTAAGAGGCTCCTCTGTCCTCCACTGGTTACCTGTTTGAACTTGTTATCAAAAACAAAATTGTAGACCTGTGCCAGGCTGGGAAGACATAATCTGCCATAGGTAAGCAGCTTGGTGTGAAGAAATCAACTCTGAAAGCCCATTGATAATCTCCCTCGATCTGGGGCTCCACGCACCCATCTCGTCTCACCCTGTGGGGTCAAAATGATCACGAGAGCTGGGACCAAAGTAACAAAGGCCACCATCAGTAACACACTACGCCGCCAGGGAAGCCTGCCGTGTCATAAGTGTCCCCTGCCAGTACATGTCCAGGCCCGTCTGAAGTTTGCTAGAGAGTATTTGGATGATTCAGAAGACAATTGGGAGAAAACTTTTTGGTAAAAACTTATTGTGTTTGGAGGAGAAAGAATATCATACCTACTGTGAAGCATGGGGGTGGAAACACCATCATGCTTTGGGGCTGTTTTTTCTGTTAAAGTGATAGTCTGTAACTCTAAATTAATTACATTTTTTAAGAATTGTAGTAAATTGACCTCCTGGCCTTAAATGTTGATATAAAATAAGTCATTTTATTAATTCTAATATTACGGGTACAGTAAGTCCCGCCTTCTCTTCTCTTAGCTAGCGTTCAGAATCCACAATGCCGTCCACGTTAACCAATCGAGTCAGGCCAAGGGCTGTCAATCATCGGCGCTGATGCTCACAGTTCCGCGCATGCGCAGTTGGAACTACATGAAAACTGAACAAAGAATTCTGAACATCCGCGCGTTACCCATTTATATACTGAACCTATATCCATAATCAGATCCTCTGCAGATGTGTCCTATAATGTGCAATTCATGATAATAGCTTCTTCTGGGTTTGCCGCGATCGTTTTTTTGTGCATTAAAACATAATTTTTTTCATGAAAACGTTAACAAGTAATTCTGAAAACCTACGTGCATGTGTATTAATAATGTATATGTATAATGTGTTCTCTGATTAACATTTCAAAGTGTTACGGAAACGTAGGTGTAGACCAATCAGAAAGGAAGGGGGAGGGAGCTTGCGTCATTTTTTCAAATCAAGCACCTCTCTGTCTCCCTTTCTGACAAACTCCAGACAATCACTTTAAGGGACCAGGACGACTGATCCGTGTTAGGGAAAGAATAAATGGGCCCATCTACTGTGAGAATTTGAAAATAAAAACCTCCTTCCATCAGCAAGGGCATTGAAGATGAAACATGGCAGGATCTTTCAGCACGACAATGATCCCAAACACACCGCCCGGGCAACGAAGCAGTGGCTTTTGTAAGAAGCATTTCAAGGTCCTGGAATTGCCTAGTCAGTCACCAGATCTCAACCCCATGGAAAATCTTTGGAGGGAGTTGAAAGTCCGTGTTGCCCGGTGACAGCCCCAAAACATCACTGCTCTAGAGATCTACGTGGAGGAATGGGCCAAAATACCAGCAACAGGGCGTGAAAAACTTGTGAAGACTATAGAAAAACGTTTGAGCTGTCATTGCCAACAAAGTATAATACAAAGTATTAAAATTAACTTTTGTTTTTGACCAAATACTTATAATCCACCATGAATTGCAAATAATTTGCTATGTGATTTGTTTGATTTTTTTTGTCTCATTCTGTCACTCATAGTTGAGGTATACCTATGATGAAAACTACAGACCTCCCTCATCTTTTTATGTGGGAGAACTTGCACAATTGGTGTCTGACTAAATACTTTTTTGCCCCACTGTTCATACCTCATACATATAAAGTGTTTTTTTTTTTTTTTTTAAACAATCTTAGACACTTTACTAAAAGAGAGGCCAGATAGAAGACACAAAGCCAACACAGGTCTAAACAACACTCCAACCTGTCTTCTTGGCTTGCAGTGGGAGAGTTTGTGAGCGACGCGCTGCTGGTTCCAGACAAGTGCAAGTTTCTGCATCAGGAGAGAATGGACCAGTGTGAGAGCCACCTGCACTGGCACACTGTGGCCAAAGAGGTCAGTATTCAGCCCAGTCCACACCAGTCACTATAATCATCCAAATTCATTCAAAACAGTGTCAATGTTTCTTAAAGACGACAAGTGTCATATCCAACCAAGGCTGTCCAAAATATCACGTTTTGAACGCGTTAACGCAAATCAATTATAACGCTGTAGTTTTTCCTTAATGGAAAGTTTAATTTAAAAAGGTTGCCAGACAGATTGACTGACAAGACCAAAGTTTTTGGTGTTGTTGTCGGTGTGAACTAGTTATCACCGGAGCACATGTACTTTGAATAACACTGATACTAAACACACGCTGATGTCAACACTCCACTGCGTTCTTGTCAAAACATATGGATAGAGCAACTAGGAATAAACTGTTGGCACTTTGCTACTTTATTTTGTATCACCCTGTTTTGATCCTTAGTTGAAGGGCTTGTATTGTTAACAATTATGCATTTGCAATTATGACATTCATGCGATTGAAAAAAATAAATAATTGGACAGCACTACTTAACACTAGGTTGACACAGAGAGGCACAGAGAGAGAGAACCTCATTCGAATCAACCCTAAAAGACACAAAACTTTTAAGCCGTATGTTTCACCATTTTTGTTTCTACATTTACACATTCAGGATGATGTCACATACTAAATTATGAAATGTTGAATGTTAAACGTAACTTTTATACAATACATCCATTTTCCAGTCCTGTGGGGATCGGACCATGAACCTTCACGATTACGGAATGCTGCTTCCCTGCGGCATCGACCGGTTCCGAGGGGTGGAGTTTGTGTGTTGTCCCGCCAAAGCTGAGGAGGAGGAGGACCAGAGCTTCGAGCAGGAGGCCGACGATGGAGACGTGTGGTGGGGAGGAGCCGAGACAGACTACTCCGACAACAGGTGGGTCTTTGGACTTTTCAGACTGCTCTAGTCTGTGATCCAGTCTCTGCTTCAGTCTCTGTTCCTGCCTCTGCTCCAGTTTTTGATTCAGTCTCTGTTATAGTCTCTCTACCTAGTTTATGCAAAAAAAAGTTACAAATTATTTCCCACCTCACTTAATTTCATTATTGAAATTTCACATGTGCTCTTAAGTTGTAAAATGGTAAAAACAACTTGTTTTCAGCATGGTCCGTGAACCTGAACCGGAGCCAGTTGAGCAGAAGGAGGAGCCCAAACCCAAAGCCTTGATCCAAGAGGAGGAACAGGAAGTGGTGACTGAGGAGGACAACATGGCCATCGCAGACGAAGATGACGAAGACGAGTTCGATCAGGACCAAGATGGAGACGGAGAGACCGACCAGGACGTAGAGGTCAGGCCAAACCATTTTCAAACTTTACAAAGACACTTGATTAGAGTGAAACTGCTTTATAACCCTGGAGGACTGCAGCTTGTAGAAAAAAATAATAAAAGTGTTGTTTTGTGATGAGCACTTTTAAACCAGTACTTAAACCAAACTTTACACAAACATTTTCATATAACAACATGGAACGATCAACATCTCGCCTCAAATTGCATTAAAAGTGACATTCGTGTCTTAATTCGTTCGTATTCAAACTTTTGTTTTAAATTCACAGACTTATGTCCGCCATCTTGGTTTGATTTGGCTGAGACGCACGAGAAGGCGGTGCAAACTCGACGTAACCACGGCGACCCTGATTGGCCGATTATTTTTTGATCTCCTGAAGGAGTTTGCAATACACTCGATCCCAGACCCTTGTGTTCAGCGAATTGCCTCTGGTGGAGCATGGCGGAACTACAAGGGTCTGGCGAGAGTCTGGCTACGTCACACATAGTTTCTACTCAGACTTTGCATGGCGTGAACTCAAACACAAGCTGAATCAATGAGCTCAAGTTTTCAATTAAATAAGGGATTTTAATACAACTTGTATGTAGTAATACACATTTTTTTGAACTCATTAGAAAATAAGTCAGATATAGTTACTTTAAGTTCTATATCTTTTTATCAAGTGATAAATGGTGCTTCTGAGACAATTGATCTACAATGATATTACATAAAAACAAGATTACTCCAAAGTTAAATAATAGCTATCTGTGTCACATTTGTGACGATTATACTGTACATATTTGTAAAGAAAATGTTCCTTTTTACACAAATGTCATGAGCAACATGTTTCAGAAAAATATATCTTTTTGTTGACTAAAATTGCTTCATATTTTTGTCGACTAAAATTGTAATTAAAACTAAAAAAATGTTTTGTCAAAATACTAATACAAAAGAAAGTAGAATTTTCTTGTCAAAATTAACACTGGATAACGGATAACAGATAATATAAGTCTGTATACTTGGCCCAATTCACATAAATACCCCCTTGAAATAGCAGGAACAGTTCACATACACTACAAAAAGTCAAGTAAAGAGACACAAAAATTCTATTAAATTCTCACTCAAAATGAGAAACAAATTGACCTGCTCTTGAGACAACACAACACTGATTTCTGAATAAGCATGTTAAAGACAGTCACAAATAATTGAAATTGAAGATTAAAACATTTGACTCAAGCATTTATCACCTTATATTTCAAAAAACAAGCACAAACCCATATCTGCTCGCTCTGTGCTGTTCACATAAACATAGAGGGAAGCAGGAATGTGAAACATTAATACCAAACACCTTCACACAGGACGAGGAGGAAGATGACGAGGACGACGAGGCAGACGATGACTTCATTGACAACATGGACGACGACGAGAAAACCACCAACATTGCCATGACGACCACCACCACCACAACCACGGAGTCTGTGGAGGAGGTTGTGAGAGGTGTGTGTCCATTGAACTCTGCTAGAGCCAAATTCAAGGCCCTAAAAGTTAACATGGGAGAGTGTGGCGTTGGACTTTCGTTTTCCAAATATACAATGGAAAACGAATGCAAAGTTATGCTTTATAACTATTGTTCTATGAATCACAAATGGCCGCAGGGATTTTGGAAATGTGGAAAATGAGGTTTGAATATTAAGAGAGAATTCTAAATCTGGTCTACCAGATTTTGTAAAACAGGGGTCCTCTCTTTTTCACTTTTCTGTCTGAAAAAGCTGATCTAAAGAAATGACAGAGGCCGACAATACGTGCATGTGAAAACCATAATTCAACAGTTCCTCCTAGCGATTTGGATGTTAAAGTTAGGTGCCCCAGTCTTCTGCCATTTACCCATTTACCTGCACAACAAAAATTATTTGTCGATAAACAGATTTTAGTTGTCAATTTCTGTATGTTCTAAGTCATGGGACATTTGGGGGGAGAAATACATTAATACAATACACTTTCCAGACCTTGAAAAAGTAAAAGTGGTAGATAGAATGTTCTACCACTACCGAAAAACGTTTTAGATTGATTATGAGGTCCACCATTGCTGAAAAATGCAATCAATTCTCTCTCACTGGTGCCGTATTTAAGCCATGCACACTGATTGTACAAATATGGTTAGTTCAAATCTCTTCATTCGACCTAAGAGCGAGAGTTAGTCCTGGTTGAAAGTGTTCTTCACCTGCTCATCTGATCCACCATTTTGCGTTTCCCAAACACAACACAGCAGACTTTCATTTCCTTGTCATTTCCCGTATCGCTCACATCCATCACAGCAGCTTTCATTAGACACAGCCCATTAAAACGCTCTGCGTTATTTTCACTTGTCCAATGGGGTTTTTAATTGAGCTTCAAGCCGCATTTGCAAAGTTTGGTGAGGGCAAAAGTGATGTGTATTTGAGATCGGCCCATAATAAAAACAAACAGTGTCAAACAACTATACTAGCAACTAATTAAGAAAAATGTATATTGTGATTGGACTTTTGGATTTAGTTCTGAATGTTAGCTATTTTTTTTACTAGCACCATTTACAATTTAAAACTGGGGAGAAGTGAGAAATGTCTTGACCTGATAGCGTATAAAAAGTGCTAAAACGCAAGAAAACGCGTGGCCCCATTCACTTAAACGTCCCCTTGTAGCAAGAAGAGTTCTGACTGTGTTTCGACATAAGCCCTATTCACATATACTACAAAAAGAGTGAGAACATTTTGGAAACACCTGATGCTAAACACACACTCTGCCAACACTTTGTTCTCCAAGAACAAACAGCTACTTTATTTTGTATCAAACTATTTAGATCGCTTAGAAAGGGAAGTTATAAGGGATGTTATACATCTGTTTATGGGTAACATTGAATTCTCCAAGTGTGAGTGTGAAATATTACACTACACGTTTTCAATTTTAAAAAAAAATTAACACTGTAAGCCGATTTCCACATTAGAATGATAATTCAAGGGACATAAAAGATAAATACAGATTTGTAATACATTTGCGTTTAATGGCCATTATAAAAATTAATTGTTGGACAGCACTCGTTTTTTTGTGAGTACAGTTTGGGTCACATTTTGATCATTTTCCACGCCCACTTTCTTTACTTCCTTTCGACTCCATCTTCACCACTCCCCAGCTTCACTCTTTTTAAAAAACATTTAATTTGTGCTCCTGCATGTGCACAGTTATGTTGCCCATCCGTTTTTCTTATGATTTTAACCATGCTTTCATTTTTCCATGTGTGTGTGCGTTTGTGTGTGCATGTAAAAGACGTGTGCTGGTCCGACGCGGAGACCGGGCCGTGCCGGGCCATGCTGCCTCGCTGGTTTTTCGACCGCTCTGAAGAAAAGTGTGTTCAGTTCATCTACGGAGGCTGCGGCGGCAACAGGAATAACTTTGAGTCAGAGGAGTACTGCCTGTCGGTCTGCTCCAGCGTCAGTAAGTGAGAGAGAAAAAGAAATTGCTAACCAGTGTGCCAAACTGCTATAAAGTGCAAACCAATGTGGCAAAGTGCTAAAAATGAACAAAGTATCCCTTAACCTTTTCTGAAATGTTCTCACTGTGAGATGAATCAACCTTAATCTTAGAACTGTCTTACTGGTTAGCTGTTTATAACTAGTGTTAACCAGTGCAACAAAGTGCTACAAAGGGCTAATAACCTATGCTTCTCTATAGGAACAATAAAGTAACGCTAAACCTCAATCATTTTTTCCCGGTCTTCCTATGGCTTTCATCCTAATTATCAGTTGTAGTGGAGAAATATGTTCTTCTTGATCAAACAAACTATGTTATTGATTTACATGTTATTAAACGTATTTGAATTGGGACATTAACCATTTATTTGGGGAATGGGGGAATACGAATGTGAGATAACTTGTTATTGGAAATCAAGATATTACAGATAATAGCAGACAGATTTTGTCCCTGAAAGTGTCACAATATGGAGGCTGGTTACAAAATGAGTCTGCATGCATGCATGAGCTCTAGCTTTAGCATCGCGGGCTGACAGAACTGCCTCTATATGTGCTTCAATTTTAGTAAGCGAGAGTGTTTGGAGAACCTTTTACTCAGTCAAAAGATGGTGTATAATTTTAGGTAAAAGGCTGTGGACAGAGGACAGTCCAGGGAGCAATGCTCATTAGGGCCAACTTTTAATCTGGTATCATGTGAATTATTCACAGAGCACAGTTAAATTACATAAGTCTGAGAGATGGCCGAGGTCCAGACTGAGCAGAGTCCAATCAAACGGAAAGAAATTAAATGCGATCAATGCAATATTATGTGAATGCTCAGGGGCATGTGTGCACACCGATTAGCTGTGCTTTTAAGTTCAGGAGTGGTTAGCCATGCTTTGAAGGCAGGCTCTTAACTTCTAAGATACAAGTTTTAAGTAGTTAGTCATGCTTCAAAGGTAAATGAGACAGGTTAGCTGTGCTTCTATATGCATAAATACAGGCCTCATGAAAAAGCAGAAGATGAAATCCCACAATATTTACATGGTTAACACAACATAAGTAAATCACTTGATTATAAAATTAATTAATTAATTAAATGACCCCTGAAAAATGTATAACGGACGTGATGAGGACGGTCCTCTTTTCTCTAAAAATTAAACTTGAGAAAAAAAAAAATCTGGTCTGTTTTCACATTTAATTGCTTGACAATATGAAAGTATCACTTTGCATCTACTTTGTGTAAAAAAAATAGAACCTCTGTATCAAATGTGGACATCTGAAAATACGTAACAAACTTCCACAAAGCTCATTCCGTCAAATCATCACGTCCATTACATAAAATAAACAGGGCCGCTATAGGAAACTTGTCTAATGTATAAAACAGTTATGTTCTAGCAACTTCTAATGGACAGAGGAGGTGCTTGGAAACATGAAAAACATAAAATATCTTCTGATTATTAAAATCTAATTTTTGGCCTTTTGTCACACTTTTGTGCCCTTTAGTGTGAACAAGCCCAAATACATAAATACATCCCGCAAGTGGTTAGCCATGCTTCTAAGGTAAAAAGAACAGGTATTGAATGGTTACCCATGCATCAAAGTTCTGAAGTGGTTAGTCCTGCTTTTAGGTTCTTTAATATACAGTAGGTCTTTGGTGGTCTTCGGTTAGCCATACTTTTAAGGTAATACTTCAGGTTTTTAATGGTTAGCCATGCTTCTTTAGTCATCGTCCAACAAGCATCAGAAAAAGCAAAAATCATACTTACTAAACTGGGACTTTCTCTTCCCACACTGATCACATGAGCAACTCATAATATACATTCCAAGCCTCTTTTTAAACACATGAGTTTTTGTCTGGTTGTTGTTTTGCAGTTCCCACGGCAACGCCCAGCTCTCCAGACGCCGTGGACCACTACCTGGAGACTCCGGCAGACGAGAACGAGCACGCACACTTCCAGAAGGCAAAGGAGAGTCTGGAGGCCAAGCACCGTGAGAGGATGTCCCAGGTATTTCACCAACATCACACTCATGAGAGATCACATTTAAAGTAAAGAGAGACTACTAGTGGTGGGGGAAATAGGAAAAACAATCTATTCTGTTCAGTATTGGGATCTTTTGCGCACACAATTATATTGCTACAGAATAATAATCTGTTGAAATTTTGAGTTAACTGATCATTTACATTTGCGTATCACATTACATTAGCTTGTGGCTAATTATGTCTTGTCCTGTAATAAGGATAAAGTGTTTGCACTTCAGTTAATTTGCAGACCATAATAAAGAGAAAATAAGTTGAGTCTTATTTTCCAAAATTGTTGTCTTTGAATTATATGAGGGACATGAATCGCAATAAATCACAGAATAGTTCAAAGTAGAGTTACTCTTAAGAAAAAAAATACATGAGAAAGTCTGATGACTTCCATTCGCAGGTGATGAGGGAATGGGAGGAAGCTGAGAGGGACGCCAAGAACCTGCCCCGAGCTGACAAGAAAGTGGTCATTCAGGTAAAGACTTAAGCCTTGTTTCAACCCCTTGCACTACCACCCGTGCACCCTCAAACTTTTCAAACTACGCAGCGGGCAGTGCAGAGAAGGTTCATTCTGATTGGCTCGTGAGTCTATTCCTTGCTTGGTTGGAAGCAAGGAATAGGTGCGGTAAAACATGGATGAAGCACTTTGGTGCAGATTGCTTCGAAGAGGACCTAAGGAAAAGCAGTTTGGACTCATGGCTCAGAGCCTACGAGGAGGCTGTGGGCTAGAGATATGTTGCATATCAAACATATCTATACTGTACTGTCGTTTCTTTTGCACTATTCCTGTGTTTGAATCTGCACTGCACTTAGTCACCGCATCTGCACCTTTTTGCATTCATCCTGCACTTGTAAATAGTTTGGTCTCAGATATTCATTACTCATAATAACCGTCTGTTTCCAACAAGAACTGTGTCTTTATTCACAGCATCACAGTTGAAACTAGTTATGAAACAATTGGTCTATAGTACTGTCACAAATTTACACCTAGAACAACTGTAGCTGCGTAATCAACCACGGGTCCATGCAAACGCCAACGCACACAGTGACGCCCGAGTTTATATAGGTCTTTAGAGATAGGGTGAGGAGCTCAGTCACACGGGGGAGCTCTGAATAGAGGAGGAAAAGGGAGGGATGAAGCGCTAGCACGTTAGCATTGTGCATCTATATACTGTCCATGTTTAGGCTTCATAGAGCAAGCATGTTCTATATGTAGTATATTTAGGCATCATAGAGCTAGCAAGTTAGCATTGTCCATTTATGCACGGTCTGTTGTCTCCTCGTTCCACCTCACTTTATCATTCTCTGGCAGCGATTTCAGGAGAAGGTGGAGTCTCTGGAGCAGGAGGCAGCGAGCGAGCGACAACAGCTGGTGGAGACCCACATGGCCCGAGTGGAGGCTCTACTGAACGACCGGAGGAGGCTCGCCTTGGAGAGCTACCTGACCGCACTGCAGCAGGAGCCACCCAGGGTACTGCGCACTCAAGAGTGCACGTAGCATAAAGCAAATCGCAAATAACAATATGTTTGTGGTTAGCATTGCTTCTAAGTCAATAATACAAAAAATATAAGCATCTTTTGTGGTAAAACTATTCATTTGGTTGCATCAGGCCAAAACCATATGGAAGTGTCAATAGAGAGGAGTTTATTTTTCAATGTAAGTCACTAGGAGCCAGAGGGAGTTGGAGCTCTTTCCTATTGGGTTTCATTGAGCTAGCGGGTTAACATTGTCCATCTGTACACAGTCTATAGGTGGATATCCCAAAACAGTTTAATTTGAACATATTTGTGATTATATGGTTTTTGCTTTGTGTTGTAGCCACGTCACGTGTTCAGTCTCTTGAGGAAGTATGTGCGCGCAGAGCAGAAGGACAGACAGCACACGCTCAAGCACTTCGAACACGTGAGGATGGTGGACCCCAAGAAGGCCGCACAGATCAGACCACAGGTACGGAGAAATGGAGACTGCAAGTACGCAGCACTTTGAAATAGGGACTACAAGTACAGACATCAGGTATGGAGCACTTTGAGTAGAGACCAAGCACTTTAAACAGAGAGTACGGAGCCCTTTAAACAGAGATAAAGTTCTTCAAAACAAAGACCACTGGACAACAGACTGTGACCACTGGTTCTGTGTTCTTCAAACACAGAACAAATCAGACCACAACATACTGTCTTCATCTAGTTAGAAAACATTTTATATTTTGTGTGAGAAAGAGCCTTGTGAGTCATTATTTAACTCTGGGCTGAGAGCTGATTGACTGAGTGAGGGCGGTCCTGTCTTTTTCACTTTTGTGTCTGAAAAAGTTGATCTAAAAATGTGACAGAAATACAAAACTAGTGATAGAAGTAATTAATACATAGTCATGTATTATGTATATGCTGTTACGGTTTTAAAGTTACGCACCACAGCTTTAGTCAAACCTGGAGCTGCCCTAAGTCCACACTGGGTCCTGTCTCTGTTCTCAGGTTCTGACTCACCTGCGCGTAATCGAGGAGCGGATGAACCAGTCTCTCGGTCTCCTCTACAAAGTTCCCGGAGTCGCAGACGACATCCAGGACCAAGTTGGTAAGAGTCTGGACTGAGACGTGCATTAGGATTAGATAAGTGGTTTTCCAAAGAAACAACGTGAACAAGGATATTATTCAAAGATATAATATTATTATTATTAAAACCTTATTTTAAACACAAATGGTCCATAGACACAACAAATCTGAAAAAGGATAGGAACAGACAACAAAGATGCTATAGACATATTCTCACAGACCACAGAGACGCGAGAGAGAGACGAGAAATACCAGAGAGAGTAAGACCAGCGAGTGAGACTAGTGAGAGAGACCAGAGAGAGACTAGAACAGGGGTCTCAAACTCAATTTACCTGGGGGCCACTAGTCTGGGTGAGGCTGAGCCACAAGTAAAGATTTCTTTTAAAAATTCTTTTGAAATATCTTTATTTTTATTTTCAACACAAAATATAATCCAAATATAAATGAAAAAAAAGGTAAATGTGCATGTATGCATTCATATCAGTTGATCCAACAGCACTGCGTGTAATCTGGAGGTTTGCCCTCAGCATTTAAGTTAACAATTGTATGGCCCTGCTACATTAAATACTCCTTTTTTGGCATAGTCTTCTTGCTCATGGTTGGTGTAAATGACTGAAATGTCTTATAAGTGCGCCCCTAGTGTTAGGCGCTATCAAGCACCATTCATATAAAACTTGCGGGCCGCACTAACAATAAACTTTTATATTAAGTTGGGGGCCACAAATTCTCTGAGACCCCTGGACTAGAGAAGAGACCAGTAAGACCAGAGAAAGAGAGACTTAAGGGAACATTGTATTCCCTCTGAGGAGGAGTGGTAGACATTTCAAGGCTACAACGACTTAAAAGTTCTATGACCTTCATCTGACCCCATAGAAAACCATTCTATTGCTGTCTAAAATACAGGTACTGTATATTGTCAGAGACTATAGTCCTGGTCCACGGTAAATACTTGATCCTAAATTGGTCCAAGCTCTGGTCTTTTTATTGTGTTTGTAAGTTGTAAGAAACATTGAATGACAGATTAGATCTGTCCGGTTTTGCTGGTTTGGCAGATATCAAGACAAGACAAGAGGAAAGAGCTGAAAAAACCATTTCAATAATCCATTCGATTGTATTTAAATACTGATGTACGGAGTAGTAAAAGCCACTACTTTATCTGCTCTTCTAAACTCCAGCCTTGTGCGTCACTGCTCCATCTGCCACAGTCTGCGCCACTTCACAAACATGCAAAGATCAAACAAGGAGCAAATTGAAAAATGTTATTGCTCTGAGCTTTAATAAAAAAGGAGAAAAAGTCCATGCACTGGTAACAACCAGGAGTGAGTGCAGCTTGTACCGTTTGGGACAGGATAATACATTCTTCCACATTTCCTGAGCTTTTAAACGGGTCGGAAACAGAGCTGGAGGGCGTATGTTATCGCAGTATGAGATTATAAGACGAAAACATCAAAACAGACTTAATAATTAAGCATAATTTGCGTAATCAGACTACTCATGGCAAATTTGCCTTTCAATAACCTCATTCCCAATGCGCAAAAAACACCGCAGTTTCAATCAAGTAAGTAAGTAATGTTTATTTGTATAGCACATTCTACAGGCCACGGTCACCCAAAGCGCTTTACAATGTCCAGAAACCAAGTATTTTTCCATTCACACAGAAGCGAGACCACAATCAAAAATGTCAGTTCCACACACGGACTGGTGTGTCAAAACAACTCAGCATTGAACTCGCCTTTTGACCTAATCTTTTTAGTCAAGATTCGTCCAAATGTAGCAATATTATAGACAGCAAAATCAAGAAATTGAAGAGAGAAACTTGGCCTTCTCTAGCCTCTCTCTCTTTCTGGTCTCCCTCTCTCAGGTCTCTGTCTTTGGAAAAAGCCGACTACACTGCTGCCGTTCTCACTGTTTCGGGTCAATATAGCATTTGGGGAAAAGTTTTCCTGGTTTTCTGTATAGTTTACTGTTGGTGTCTAATGATGTTATGCGTTTGTGTGTGTTCAGAACTGCTGCAGAGGGAGCAGGCAGAGATGGCTCTACAGCTGGCGAACCTTCAGACCGATGTGAGGGTGAGCTACGGGAATGATGCCCTGATGCCTGACCAGGAGTTTGGAGACGCACAGAACGAACCAGAAGAGGGCGCTGTGGGAGCCGCCTTCATCCACCCAGAGAGCTTCAACCAGGCCAACACCGACAATCTGGGTACGACCAGGACCAGGCCACACTGCAGAAATACAATGGTCTCTCTGATCTCTTGCTCTCTGGTTTCTCTCTCCTTCTCTTCTCTCTCTTTGGTTTGAAAGTTACGTATCCCAGCTTTATTTGGAATGCGCTATTGACTTTTTATCAGAAAGTTGGTTATTTTTCATAATAATTTGCCTTTTTGATCCAGATAAAACATTCTGAGATCATCACTAGTAACATGAATCAATTTCTGCGAATCTGAGCGGTCGTCTCCCAACTTGTGTTTATTGTTGGATGAAAAGTTTCTGTGTATAACGCTAAAATTCCTTTTCTTCTTTTGTAGTTGAACCAGTTGACTCTCGCCCAAACCTGAACAGAGGAATCCCTACACGACCAGGTAGAGTATCCAATGTTCGAGAACCACTCGGGGAGACTGGTCGACATAAAGAATGTTTATGAAAGAGATATCTGGTTTGGCTTGAATATAGTATTGTAATTTTTCTGATTAACATTGTGATATGATTTACCATTACAGATACTTAAATAAAACAAAAAATATTAATAGATGATGTAAACAATTTACATCAATACCACTTGCAAGTTACAACCACTAAAATCCTTTTTCATCTTGCAGCCCTATTGTATACTCATAGTAAAATACATAAATGTTGTTTCAAATTAAGTTAGAAAAGAGTGTGTGTGTGTTTTCTCAGTGAATGGAATCAAAATGGATGCTATGCCAGAGCTGCGCATGGACACAGAGGACAGACAGAGCACGGAGTACGAGGTCCACCATCAGAAACTGGTGAGACACTATCACTGCATGAAAACTACAGAGACAGGTTTATCCCATGGGTCTGAGCTCTGACTACGGGTAAACATTTGCATCTTGGCTATAATCTGGTACAATGCCTCTCACCTTGATGTTCATGTTTAATTGTACACTGTCCCTGTTCAAAAAAAGTACATACCATATCACACCATGTAACTGGGCTCTACTAAGTGTTGCCACCAAACCAGTCTGACCACTCTGGTGTGATGTCTCGTATCTTTGCCTTCGAACTGTTGTCATATATATTAGGGTTGGGCGATATTTTTTTTGTAGCGGTATACCGGTATAAGTAAATTAAATGATAAGAAAATGCCTTATACCGGTGAAAACGATCATTTAACACTGAAAACACGTTTGTGTGCGGCGCACTTTGATGACGCATCTGTGCAGCACGTGTAGCAGAGCGGCGTGCAGGGACAACAACAACAGAGCAGAGAGCAAACATGGGTGAGGGCGGCGGTGAAGACCATGGTGAAGACATGCAGATTGTAGAAGACATTGTGCCAAAACGCGGAGCTACCTCAAACATATGGGAGTAGTTTGGGAACTAGATAAAAAGAAGCAATTGTGTGTAACTATCGACAGTGGATCTAATGTTGTGAAAGCAGCTGCCCTAAACAACTGGACTCGAGTGGCTTGCTTCGGACACTCGCTCTCTCTCTCTCTCTCTCTTAGTGCCATTGGTAAGCTTTATTTACTGTTTACTGTCATTCATTTTACTTCAATGCATGTGTTTGCCTACATTGCAATATAATTATAAATAAGTTATAATTACATAATTATAGAAACGCAAAAGGATACAAAAAATATATACAGTATTTGATCATTTTGACTATATTGGGATTAGGAAACATAAGCCAAAGTGATTTGATAATGCTACACTTTTTATATTACAAAGGACAAACTTTTATATATTTTACAAATTACAAATGTTCACCTTTATTACATGTTGCCTGCAATTTTCAGTATGTACAAAACAGAATTCTCTACAATTCAGTTTTGTTAATACGTTTTATATACAATAGCTGTATTACACATTTTGCTGCCAATAAATCAGTAAATGCACTTTGAGGCAAGTGTGTTTAAAATTATCAGTGCTAAGTTTTTATAGCTTTTATATGAGGCTTTGTTAAAATTATCATATCGTCATATCGTGATACATACCAACAAAAATTGTGATACATGCTGAGGCCCATATCGCCCAACCCTAATATATATACTGTATAAATACCATCCATTCCTTCATTTTCTTCGGCTTCATCCGTTGCCGTGTTGCGGGAACAGCAGTCTAAGCAGAGACACCCGAGTGGACAAGGCACCTTTTTCCGGTCAAGCACCATGGGCTCGGATTTGGAGGTGCTGATTGTCATCCCAGCCGCTTCACACTCGGCTGCAAACCATCCCAGTGTATGTTGCAGGTCCTGGTTCGTTGGAGCCAACAGGACAACATCGTCAGCAAACAGCAGACATGAAATCTTGTGGTCTCCGACCCCCTTCTGCCCCTGGCTGCGCCTAGAAATTCTGTCCATAATGACAGTGAACAGAACGGGTGACAAAGGGCACTATTGGCAGAGGCATGCACCGAGAACTTACTGCCGGCGATGCGAATGCTGCTCTGACTCCGGTCATACAGGGACTGGACGGCCCTCAGCAGAGGACCCCGTACTCCCGGACAACCCCCCAAAGGACATCCCGGGGAACACGGTCAAATTCCTTCTCCAAATCCACAAAGCACATGTGGACAGGTTGGGCGAACCTCCATGAAACCTCGAGTATCCGATGGAGTGTATAGAGCTGATCCAGTGTTCTGCGGCCGAGACAAAAACCACACTGCTCCTCCTGAATCCGAGATTCGACCATCAGCCAGGGAGATGGAGGTATCCGACCCAACATCCTCAGCCTCTGCTTCCGGAACGGGGGATTGAGGAGAACCTTGAAGTATTCCTTAGCTGCCCAACAATATCCCCAGTTGAGGTCAGCAGCTCCCCACCCTTCACGGTGTTGGCGAACACTGCTTCCCCCTCCTGAGGCGCCAGACGGGTTGCCAGAATCTCTTTGAGGCCGACTGATAGTCATGCTCCATGGACTCTCCTAACTCCTCCCAGTCCAGGGTTTTTGCCTCTGCAACAGCCCGGGCTGTTCCCACAAACCAAAGTGGCTACGATAGGACTCCTTCAGCCTGACGGCATCCCTTACTGCGGGTGTCCACCACCGGGTTTGGGGGTGGCCGCCAGGATCAGTACCAGAGACCTTGCAACCACAGCTACGAGCCGCCGCATCGGCGATAGAGATGGAGAACATGGTTCACTCAGACTCGATGTCCCCCTCCTCCCCCGGGACCTGCGAGAAGCCCTCCTGAAGATGTGAGTTGAAAGTCCGCTTGACAGGGGGCTCATCGAGACGTTCCCAGCAGACCCTCACTCTATGCTTGGGTCTGCCAGGTCTGACCGGCTTCCTCCCCTGCCATAGGATCCAACTCCCAACCAGGTGGTGATTGGTTCACCTCTCTTCACCTGAGTGTCAGATGATATGACAACAAAGTCGATCATCGAACATGGTGTTTGTGATGGACAAACTATGACTAGCACAGAAGTCCAATAACTGAACACCGCTCGGGTTCAGATCAGGGGGACCGTTCGTCCCAATCACCCCTTTCCAAGATTTCCCGGTTGGTGCACCATCCAGTGCCCCTCCCAAGGACACCAAGAAGGCTGAGTTCTCAGCACTGTTGTCTGGCCCGTACGCCGTCACAACAGCGAGAGACTTATCCCCCACCCGAAGGCAGAGGGATGCGACCCTCTCATTCACCGGGGAGAACTCCAACACGTGGCGGCTGAGATGGGGGGCAATGAGTATGGCCACCCCCGCTCATTGCCTCTCTCCACAAGAAACGCCAGAGAAATGAAGCGTCTGACCTCTCTCAAGGAGTTGGGTTTCAGAGCCCAAGCTGTGTGTGGAGGTGAGGCAGACTGTATCTAGTCAGTATCTCTCAACCTCCCCCACAAGCTCGGGCTCCTTCCCCCGCATTGAGGTGACGTTCCACGTCCCAAGAGCCAGATGCTGAGTCGCCGAGGTCTCCGCTTTCGACTGCTGCCCAGTCCTCTCTGCACCAATGCCCCATAGATCCCTATGCGGGTCATGGGTCCACAGGAGAGCCTGCCCACAACGTCCTTTCGGGCTGAGCCCGGCCACCAGGCGCTCACTTACGAGCTCCAACCCCAGGCCTGGCTCCAGGGTGGGGCCCTGACTGCGCCATACCAGGCGACGTCACTGTTGACATTTTCATGCTTTCCATTGTGGTTTCGTACTGCGCTTCGTCTCACTCTACTACTACTTTTAAGCCTAGCGTACATCGGACTGGCAACTGATTATATCCGTCGCCTCTGAGTTGCTGCCCCGCACACATCGACAATCTGGCGAAAACGGGCAACTCTGAGTCGCAGGCCAGTCTCTTGAATAACAGCGCGTACATCGACAGCAACTGGCCTCAACTACAGTGTGTTTTCTGACAACAAACTGTTGCGGGCTCGCAATACACGCAATACACACACGTTGTCGGAGCGGCGCATGGAGCGCGCACATCGGGGCAACTGAGGACAACTAGTTGCCGAAAAGTAGAACACGGGCAACTGACTGGAACTGGAGACCGACTGATCATCTCCAGTTGTAAGAGCGCGCACATCGACCGATTTCGGCAACTGATCATCTCCCACCATCTCCTCTCAGTTGCCAAAAGCCGCCTTGCAACTAGTTGTCCCCAGTTTCTCTGTCGATGTACGCTAGGCTTTACTGTTGTTGCTGCTACTACTACTATGTTAATGCTGTTTCAACCACAGTTGAACCTGATAAAATCTCACACAACAAAGAGACAAAGTTCATCTTTTACTTACATTGTACAAGGAGAAATTCTTGACAGAGGCAAGGCACAGAGCCTAGCCTCTCTCAGGACAAGTCGGAAGCTCAGAAAGTCTGTAGCTCCTTTCATACTAGAAGACACACCTTCGTATGCAGATGAGAAAGGAACCAACAGAAAACAAATGACAGTGTGACAAGGTCTTCTCCATTAGCATCCTTAAAGCTTGCTTCCTCCTGGCATTAACACACGACTCCCCATTCACTCTGGACAGTATATTATCAGCCACATATGATTTACCAAAATGATAACTAAAGTTACATTCCAATATCATACTACTTCTGCTACCGCTACAACAAGGTATTTTTTACAGTACATCCAAAATTACTATTACTTCTCTGCACAGTTCTTCTGACACAGGTGAGCTCAAATCCGGTTTTACATTTCAGATAATCCTAATCCTTACATTATTCCTTTGCACGCACAGAGATCCTCTAATCCCACATGTATCACTGCGTTTCAAAAATCCAGCAATTTTCCCCTTCTTCCAGACTACACTGCTTTAGTGCCACATGAATGGATCTCTTTTCTCAGACATCAACAGAGAAATGGGAAGTTGTATTGGGAGTTCAAAAGATCACAAAGTACTCCAAATATGAGTAGTTTTGTTTGTGATTTTTTTATAAAGATGAATAGATTTGTAAGCATTACAACTGATATGGTTGCAGGTGTTTTTTGCGGAGGACGTGGGCCCAAACAAAGGTGCAATAATCGGGCTGATGGTAGGGGGCGTAGTGATCGCCACTGTCATTGTCATTACACTGGTGATGCTGAGAAAGAAGCAGTATACGTCCATACACCACGGAGTCATCGAGGTGAGACTGGGTTTAGTCTCTGCTTCCTGTCTCTACTGCAGTGCTTTTAAAAACCTGTTCTCTTTTAGGTGGACGCGGCCGTGACTCCAGAAGAGCGCCATCTTTCAAAGATGCAGCAGAATGGCTATGAGAACCCCACCTACAAGTTCTTTGAGCAAATGCAAAACTGAAGCCTCCGAAATTAGAAAAGATCAACACAAGCACACTAAACATATTTAAAATCATCTCCACTCTCTTAAACCTGAAACTGGCTCAATGTTTTAAAAGTGCATTTTACCTACTCAATTTAGAACAAGTTTCTTATTCCTGGGTTAAAGTTGGGGTTTTTTTCCACAAAATTACTGGCGCCATCTATACCAATACCAAATATAAGTGGATTCACTAAATGTTGGTCATTGGAGGCTTGGATACAAATAACTCTAGATTTTGAAATACAAGTGCCATACAAAAACATCTGGTTTTGATATTCGAAATACAGAAGTATAAGAGTCACATATGAGTTGCGAACAAAGTGCTAGTTAGCAAAAACACTAAATAAAGCCCAGTTTCCACTAATCCAACTCTATTTCACCCTCCTCTACTCCATTATGTTTTACCATATCCTAGCCACCCACCACCAATCTCCGTACGTTAGAACCAGTGGGCCAAATTGACGTGCGCTGACATGCTTGCAATACCACCCCGGGCCGATTGGGGTGGACCCGGAATAAGAATTAGCCAATGCTAACATATAGCATCTTCTTACCTCTTGAAAACGTCTTTACAGGATGGTCCAAAAGTTGGCTCTTGGCCCAAAGCTCCGTTCCACACGTTTCAAGCTCGCTGTGAATTTTTGAAGTCACTCGTTTAAATGAATGGAGCTCGCGCCGGCTGACGCATGCGCAGATGGGTTTTTTCACATTTTCCAGCCCCCGCGGCCCTTTTGAATCACTCCATTAGAGCCTAATTTTTGGCTCATTTGTTAGAACGATATCCGTTAATATATACAGTCTATGGTTAGAACACTTGGCTTGGATGGAACCAGGGCCAAGAGCGACTAAAAAAGTACCTAGTAAGCAATTAAAATGGGCCAGTGGTAACACTCCATAGGGTGCCATTTAGGAATAGGAATAGTAGAAACAGGGCTTAACTGTACAAAAGCATAAGTCACCAATTCTAAATAAACACTACTTTATTTGTGTACTAAGGACATGGGAAAATGCCATTTCACTATTAACCAAGAGCTAAATCTGTGGTCTCCACATTGACAAAAACCTAAAATGACAGATGAAATATTCAAATTCAAAAAAGTGCTTGTTAAAACTAGCGTGAACCCTATGTAGCTCATCGCAACAATCGCTACATGGTTTTTATCCTTTTTTTGTATTTAATTACACCTGGGCCGACGTTTTGGACCCGGCTCATTTTGCACCTACTTTGTTCACTTTATGATTTTACAGAAAGCTGTTTTTGGGTTTGTCTGAGGCCTGCTGAAAAAATGCTCCAAACTGGAATGAGAGATACAATGGTGTATTGAAGTGGTATGGCAATTAGCATTAGCATGGACAGAAAACTGGGGCTAGTTTATTTTAAGAATTGGTGCTAAGCTGGAATTATTATAAAATAAGGAAGTAGTTGAAGTTTAGAGCGGTCTTAAAATTAAGCTTTTTGATTGTCCAATTGACTTTGTACATAGGAGCAGGTAAGCTAGCAAGCTCAGTTTGTTGTTTGCTTGTGTCGCTAAGCTAATAAGTCTAGGTTTGAAGCTAACTTCACTATTTTATCTATGCTATTGTTGACATTAGCGAAACAAAACTGCTGTTAGCATAATGTTACTTTATCAGCGTCATCCAATGCTTGTTTTTATGTTTTGTGTTCAATTTGAGCAAAACGGATAACAATCTAAGTCAAAAACCTGGAAGGGCAAAATACATCAAATTGTTATCTAGCTATTTGAAGAAAAATTTGTGCTCGCTTACCTGCTCCAATGCTACCTACCTTGTTGATAATATAATTCCTAGTCTACCCACCATTTTTAAACATATTTATTCCAGCTAAACACACATTTAAGCTAGCCCGCCATTTTGCACCACTTATCGCACTCAACACGGACACTGGAGACATGACAAACCCTTAGCTTCCTTCCTACCTCCTCCCTTCCTTCCTTCCTTTGTAGTTCCTAGCTTGTATCCTAGCTCCTTTGTGTGTCCTTGCTCATTCACTACAGCTGGACTGTCGCATGCAGCGCGCTTAAAGGGACAGTAACTACATTTTGTCTGCAATTATAAAAATGTTCAATGTGATTGAGGAAATGCTTTGCCGTATTTTAAACTATATTGACAAGTTGAATTGCGTTTTTTGTAACAATTTGAAATGAGCTGGAATGGCTCAATCTTTATTTTTAAGGCTTTCTCAACTATTAAGTATTATCTTTGAGGAAATTACAAGAAAACGTAGCAAATTAGTTACTGTTTTTATAATCCAAGTTTTTTTTTGTTTGAGAAACTGAAAGAATTCTAATGAGGCTACCCTTCTAGGGTACCTAAATTGAGCCAACTCTTACTAAATTGGCTAATTTGAGTTAACTCTTGCTAATGTAACTGGAGCTAAAGAGCAGACAAACTGAGCAAAAATTACAACAAAATTATGTTTTAACTTGGGATAACTTTTGCTAAAGTAGCTTAACTTGATCTTACCATTGTGAATGTAGCTAATACAAGCTAATGTGGCTAACTCAAGCTAACCATACAAACACTTCAAATATGTGCTCCATTCAAAATATGTTACTGTCCCTTTATGACTTCCGGAGATTAACGGTTGTAAGAACTCTTATTTCTTTTAACTTTTTCCGGTTTTGTTTTTCAAAAAATGTTGAAAAAAAAACAAACGAAAAAAATATCTATATCTGAAAAAAGTCCACTGATGTAAAGTCCTTTTTTTAAATTGCGTGTGATGCTGACGTCTTAGCTATCGTTCCTATATAGTGCATGATTACGATGATTTCAAATATTTGGAGAAAAAATAAAAAAACGCAAGCTGCTCTTCTGAATAGAATGTCATTTTAGCAAGATTGTATATTCAGTAACTGTGTGATCACGTGAAAATTAAATATATATAAATTTAGATTGAAGCCAGGTCTGCTTTACTATAATGTACATTGGATTAAAAAACACTTTTTGAAGTTGTTTGTCAAATTGTTGACTTTATTTTTTTCCTTTTTATTCTCATCTGTATGTACAAAAATGTCACGGAATTGTCGATAAAAAAATCACTGTGTTTTTCTGTTACAAAGTTCATGTTTTTATAAAGAGATGAATGCATTCGGTGACGGGAGCAAAGATCGAAATGTGTTTCAAAGCCGTTTCAAAGCAAGTGGGGTAGTATTGGTTTTGAGCTGGTTTAGGCCAAGGTTAGACCTGGTTTAGAACTGATTTAGACCTGGTACTCGGGTCATCATACTCAGGTCTTATTGTAGGGTATTGGTCTAGTCTTGAAGTGGTCGTAGTCAAGTTCTGGTTCAGTCCAATTTAAGATTGGTTTAATCACAATTTTAGCCTAGACCTGCATTAATCTAGCCTGACTCTTGCCAGACCCTTGTAGTTCACTGAGCTTCACACAAGTTCAGCCAAACGCCTCTGGTGGAGCATGGCGGAACCACAAGGGTCTGGCGAGAGTCAGGCTAGCGTAATAATCACTTATTCAAAATCAATTTTCAACACTTTGGCTCCAAACCATTTGAGCGATGTTCGATGTAAGCCAAGTGTAGCTATAACAATTAGCTTCAGGCCTCACCTGCTTTGAGACGGCCGTTGAGAATGCTAAAGCTAGTCAGGTGTGTAGAATGGGTGCAGTGGGGTTTTCGCAGAACAGAGCAGACGGTATCAAGCTTGGTTTCTTCTTGTGGTGGATAATACAAGTTTTCCACTGTGTTAATATCGTGCAGGCCATTAGCATTGACTGGGCTTTCTACACTGTTCTCCATAATAAACTTTTGAATGTACATACATTTTTAGCGTCTGGTTTGAATTTGTACATCTTCAATAGTTGGGAGCTCTTACTCAATTAAGATAAAACTTAAATGATCTCACAATAGAGAAATCTACATTTTAAATTTTTCACTCATGGTGTGCAAAATGACATGAAAGATGCCAAAATATTTGTATATATAATTATAAATATATACATTATATATATATATAATCAAAGTCACCTCCATTATGGACAACACCTCCCACCCACTGCACTGGACTATTGAGGAGTTCCTTTAGTGGAAGACTGAGGCACCCTCGGTGCAAGGAGCACTACCGCAGGGCCTTTATCCCCACTGCTGTCAGACTGTACAACAAGTCACTGCATTAAGACTGGAAAAAAAACTTGCATTACTATTGACACTGTTTGATTGATTGCCACTTTTTAAATTGCCCCTGTTTATTATACATAATATATCCTGTTTGCACATGTCTTTCTTTTTGAACAATGGACCACAGAGTGAAGGCGAAAGGTCCAACAAGTGCTAAGCATCTCTGGAAACTCCTTCAAGACTGTTGAAGACCATTTCAGGTCACTACCTCTTGAAGCTCAGCAAGAGAATGCAAAGAGTGTGCGAAGCAGTAATCAGACCAAAAGGTCCTACTTTGAAGAACCCAGAATATACAACATATTTTCAGTTGTTTCATGTTTTTGTTTTATGTACATAATTCCACATGAGTTCATTCATAGTTTTGATGCCTTCAGTGTGAATCTACAATTTTCATAGTCATGAAAATAAACTGGGGTGGCAGTGGCTCAGTTGGTAGAGCATTCGCCTTTGAGCCTGAAGGTTGTGGGTTTGAGCCCACCATGAGACTTTCTCCACCGACTCCCACTGCTGCCGTTGTGTCCTTAAGCAAGACACTTACCCCACTTTGCCTGAAGCCCCCGCTGAAAGATCAAGGCTATCCATAGAGCGGCCATCCTCCTGTGGACTCACCATTTGCAGAAGGATAAGTCATGGGCTGGTGCTATGTGTACTGGGTGGCATTTCTGGCCACCCCCCAACCCAGAAATAGATTAAGGGGTAGACAATGAATGAATGGCTGGATGGATGAAAATAAACTCTTTGAATAAGAGGGTGTGTCCAAACTGTTGGTCTATACTGCATTTATTAGATTCATGTGTATTTATTTAGTATTCATTCACACGTAATATTTTATCATTACGAATCATAATAATTCATAAATATTACTCTGCTGGAATTTCTCTCAAATCACTTAACAAATTGTGGTCCAAATTTATATTTCTTTATACCAGCTTTTCAGAAAAAAGAAAAAATGCTAAAGAGGACCACCGTCACTCAAATAGTCAAATAGTGACTCACAGGGTTCTTTCTCACAATAGATGACATATGTTCTGAGAAGATGAAGATACATTTTTACCATAGAATGTTAACATTAGTTTTTACCTGATATCGGGTTCTAATGCTGCTAGTCCATGCTAGTCACTGATGAGCTTCTCCTGTGGAGCTTCAGGCTACAACACATTAACTCACAGCTTCTGCCTTGGAATTGGATACTGCTTTCAAATTATTAAGCAAAAATTAAGACATTTTATAATGCTTTTATTCCAGAGTTAGATATTTTATATTTCTATAATTACTTTAGAAGAATTTGGGAGACAGTAGCTCAGTTGGTAGAGCATTGGCCTTTAGGCCTGAAGGTCATGGGTTCAATTCCAACTCCCACTGATGTCTGCTGTTGTTGTGTCCTTGGGCAAGAGACTTAACCCCACTTTGCCCAAAAGCCCCCGCTGAGAGATCATGGCTATGCTCACATTGACAGAGCAGCCATCCTCCTGTGGACTCACTACCTGCAGAGGATCAGTGAGGGGTTGGTGCTATGTGACTTGGGTGGCATCTCTGACCGCCACCCCCTGTCCCAAAAATGGATTAAGGGGAAGAAGATGGATAATTAATTTATCTTGTGCTTCATTCCTACAGTTCTGTAACTTGTGATGCAACACTGAAATTTCCCTATCGTAGGACAAATAAAGGATCTCTCAATCTTAAGGCATGTACTCCACACAAAAACCAGCTGACAAAATTTAAGGAACAACAGGAATATTTTAATAGTAATAGCCGTTAGTGAAGCAGCACCACCCGCACAGACCCAAACACATGAACTGCTACTTGTCAAAGTTCAAACTGCAAATCCAAGGTTTTCTTTATGAATAATAAAGAATGTGTGTGTCCTTTACATAGTTTAAGACTTTTACAAAGTTATCTATTTTTTTCTACATCTGAATAGCTATGGTTCCTGGGCTTGCAGGATTAAAGTCCAAAAAAATATCTTAAAAATAGACAAACTAAAACATGCAGAACATTAACTAACTTCAGATTCAGATTCAGATTCATTTATTTGCCATTTGCAGTAAAACCACATTGGAAAAACTGTACAAGACTACCCCGGTGTGCACCAGAACTATGGGACAAGAACATAAAGGCGAACCATGAGGGTAGTTCTGTGTCACTTTTCTAGCTGATCTAAAAGATGTGAGGCCAGAAATACTTGAAAACAAGAGACAGAAGCAGAAACTAGTGGCACAGATTGTATCACATATTTGGATAGTTGGTGTTTGAATGTTACGAACTTTAGCTTTAACGTAGCTTTATTCCATTGGTTTGACCTCACATTCCTCATAACGTCCGGTTCGTCCTTCACCCAGACATAAAAATGCAGAGAGCTGTTGGACATGATGGATCACACTAAGGGTGGCTCTTCAACTTGACTAAGGCCCCGTCCCAATACCCACACTGCACCCTACACACTTCTACAAAGTGTGCATTTGTTGCACACAAAAGGCGGAATTGGGACGCACACTGAGTGCATGTTACGTCATCGACTCGTCAAGAGATGGTCATTTTCAGACCTAAACCTTTATAAACATTAAAGGTAATTTTGTCTGACCCTTTGGGAAACAAATTGAATTGCTTCACACACGTTAAAATACATGTATATTAGTTGTTTTTAATTAGAGATAGCTGTATAATTTTAAGTTAAATGTGGGTAACTAACTATCTGGTCAGTTTTTATACATTCTAAGATTATTGTGCTAAGTGTAAAGTTTAAATTGAATGTTATATAAACGCTTGCTTTAAAATTTATTAAATTGTTAAAACACAATGTCCGTAATTCTTCATCAGACGTTTATGCTTCTTTCCAAGTAACATAGCAAAACTTATTTACACACATACTGCATATATGTTTCAAAATGTGCATCTTCCCGACGTTTTGGTGTGTACCGCAAAGAATTATGGGCAATATCCTTCGCCAGAGTGCGCATAGATGCAGGCTACGGCGCAGTGTGGATCAGGGGCGCAAAGGGGGCGGGGCCAAAGACCTCCCTGGAGAATTGGGACACCCTACGCACTCGCACACTTTATCGGGAACGCGCAAATGAGGGGCGCGAGGGTGGAAGTGCGAGTATTGGGACGGGGCCTAAAGCACAAAAAGAGATTGGACAGACAGAACTGCTATGAAAGTCCCTGGTCGTCTTCCCGAGAATGTAAAAACAGGCAATGGTGGAATAAAAATGCAGCAGAGAGACAATAACATTTAGATCTTTATTAAATACAACAAAATGTCAGACTCAGGAATCATTTACAACAGCGTTCACTTGGCCACTTCCTCCAACTTGGGATCTGGAAAAATAAAAAGGACAAAAATATGCTGTATAAACAGTTTTGAATCCAAATTTTTATAAGAAAGATTAGATTGAGACCGGAGAGCAGAACAATAGACCCAGAGAGAGAGAGGCCAGACTAATAGACCCAAGAGAGGGAGTGATAGAGACCAGAAAGAGACCAGAGAGAGACCAGAAAGAGACCAAGGAAAGAAAGGGAAAGCGAAGAAGAAATAGGCACCTGTGAATTTGAAGTCTGGGAACTTGTTGAAGTCCCCGCCGCCGTAGAGCCGCTGCAGTTTGGACACTTCCTCAGTCATGGACTTCTGGAACGAGGGTCCGGCGTCCACCAGACCTCCAGTCGCTCTGAACACAGGAGAAACACTCATTTTGGATTCATTGTCAATGAGTTGAATGAGTGTGTGTGTGTGAGTGTGAATGTAGGACAACAGATGCAAATTAGTCCATGGCTACAATCCGGAGTGATGTGTTCATTAACGTGTACTGTCCTAGCCTGGCCTTAGCCATCCGTACACTCCGCTCAATCATCATTTCACTGCATGTAACGTCTGGGTCTAGTCCCTGGGTTAGCGATTACAATCGGTTGAATTTCGACTGACCAACCCGTGAGCGCGGAAGGAGAGGTTGTATTTAGTTGTGGGTGACGAACTAACTACAACCTTCCGTCGAACGGGAAGGTCGTAGTTTGGCAACTGCAAAAAATGCGATAGTAAAGTAATCCAGTCTGGATCTATCAAGAAATTGAAGCCGGAGCAAGAGGAATGTTTAGCAAATGTAATCGCTGGAAAGAATTGTGGCACTACTCCCCACGGGCTCCGTTAGCGGCAAAGGAGATGGCTAGGCTAAATGCTAATCAATCACTCAGGCGAACTACATACGTCATGGTAAACTCAGATCCAATCGTTTCAATCTGCAAAAGTAGTTAACCCCTCCCACGTGTAACCGGAGCTCAATGGAGCACCTCCAGACCTTAGTACGAAATGTAATTTGTACTATGGTGTGGTACGACCAGGCTAGTACTGTCCCAACCAAAGAAACAATAAATAAACATCACATAGCTCAGTGGGGGCTCCAAAAGGTCCATGAGCCTGTGCGCCGACATGTTTGTAATGCCACTCCTAAGTGAGGGGGTGTACCCAGAAAAAGAATTACCCAATGCTTTTGTATGCCACTTCCTTTCCTTTCAAAAACTGCTTTACAGAATGGTCCTAAAAGTCGGCTTTTGGCCAAACACTGCGTTTCAGACACTGTCAATGCTGAGGGGAGTGCCACTGCATTTGTTAAATGAATGGGGCTCATGGCGGGTAACGCATGGTGTAGATACAAGTTGTGTGTACAACATTAATACATTGGGATCCACCGAATATGTATCCAACTCAGTATTGTTCAATCTCTAAAGACACTAGACAATGCATTTACCATTTCAAAACAATAGCCATAATTTAGACTTTAAATAACCACATTCAAAAAGAAATGAATGTGTTTGAATAAAAAAAAAATGAAAAAAACAAAAAACAAAAAAGACTCCAAGCTTAATAGTTTATTTAAATAGTTTAGGTATCCAATGTTTGTATATATTATTTTACATTAAACTGTACACACATACGCAGAGGGAGAGACCACAGAGATAGAGACCAGAGAGAGACTACAGAAAAAGACCAGAGAGAGAGACCACAGAGAAAAGAGGAGACAGAGTGAGAGAGACCACAGAATAGCCCAAGACCAGAGAGCACTTTGGCTGAACTGTAAAGTTTTTAAAGTGCTTTATAAATAAAGCTGGTATGGTATAGTAGAGAGAGAATACTATTTTCCACACTATTACACAAATGTGATTGCCTGGACTTTCTTTCACATTCTGTCTAAGTGGACGTGTTTTTATGATGACAATGAAGAACCTATCCCTCATTTTTATAAGTGTGAAAACAAAATAATACTGTCAAATACAGTTTCCCCCCCACTGTTACATGCGTCTCGTACTTGCTCTTGGTGTTGTAGTCGCGGATCTTGTCAAGGAACAGCTGCTGCACTGGGTCCATGGCTTTGGCTTTGTTGAAGACAACAGCAGAGAGGCCCAGGTTTCTGCGCAGAGTGAGGCTGACGGCAGAACGCAGCAGCGTGGAGAGATGGAAGAGACGGTGCAGTGACATCTGACCAAGAGCAAGGACATAAGTGATAAGGCCTGTGACCAGTGGAGTAAGAGACAATTGCCCACAGTGAAGTGCTTTGCGATTCAGGTCTGTGAAAGGCTCTATAAAGAATACTTACTTATCCTGCTCCCTATGGATCAATGGCTTTATCATTATATCATTTCACTATAACTATTTTATTACCAAAATTCCATTGCAATGTCTGTAAATATTACAGCATGGGCCTGACAGATGTATAAAATCCCGACATCCTCGACTCATCAGTTTTATTGATAAAAACTTCTGGTCATTGAATGACGAAATTAAAGACCACTTATTTTCAGTTCGAAACAATGTCTCTTTATATTAAGGCTAAACCTAACGTATACTACTTTCTTGTTCAGCTTAATACAAACTGGGACATTCACTTTTAAAGGGCAAAGTCAAAAAGCAATTCAACTTTAAACAGGCCTAACTGTCATTTCAGCCATAACACAGTATAAAAACCTCAAAACTGATATTAAAACTACTAAACGCTGACCTTCCTCCCTATCGTACACAACAGAAAAACTAACCTCAACATCTGGCTTTGGTTTCTTTTACTGACTCATAACTTTGACCTGCACAGTCAACACGGGCCACTGCTTTAGCTTTAGCATCGTAGCATACATACTTTATGCACATATGCATATAATGTAACAATTTTGCTACTAGTTAGTATACGAAACGCGTTTGCACTGCTCATAGAAACATAAACGGAGGAAATTAGCAGTCGTTTGAGAAAGAATGAGCAAATAATTTTGAGAAATCAACATGAGCTAATGCTAACAAGAGCTGTCAATGGGAAATCCAGAACATTTTAGCTTTAGCCCTAACATTAGCATACACTGCTCAAACAAGCGTAATTTTGGTGCTATACACATAAAGCTGAGGTATATTTGAAGTTAGAGAAGTGCATATAACGTTTGCTTAAAGGTTACGCTCCACGTCAAGTGTAAATAAGAATTTTTGGTGGTTCTAATGACATTTTGTGCACTCACCTTGGTTTGACACGAAGAGCTCTCAATCCAAATGTGTATGCCGCGGAGCATTCTGGGAGGAGAAAATAAAGACGATTTAAAACATTTTATTTATCATTATTTTAGTGTTACTTTAAAAACGGTCTGTGTGTCTAATAAAGGCTGCTAATTGTTAATTATTTATTTATTTATTAATAACGTAATTCAAACGAGCATAATGTATATATGTATATATATACATTTAAAACATACACACTTGGATCGAATATTCAATCAATCTACGAATATCTTTTACCTAAAAGTTCTCATTTATTTAATTATATTTTGTCTTATTTCATTTAAATAGATTTCATCTTTACTTATGTTTTTAAAATGATTATTTTTTTAGACATATTTTCATTGTATGGTATTTTTTTTTTGCTATTTATGAATGTACACATATCAGGCTCATTTCTCTAAAATGAAAGCTCAAAAAATGTAGACTTAGAAAAATGCACCCGTAGAGTGCAGACCTCCGCCAAGAGCAACAGAGACAAAAGAGAGACCAAATATAGATAGATAGATAGTTTATTGATCCCCGTAGGAGAAAATCAGGTGTCCAGTTGACACAAAAACATATCATCCACACAAACAAAACAAATAAATTGATCATTCTAAAAAGCTATCAATAATATTAAGAAGAAATAAGAAGAAAAAGAAACAGCGCTTCTGGTCATAGCAGCAGAAATGGTCAAGCCTCTGGGTGGAGCAGGACGGGTCAAAGAACCAGGGGTTGAGCCTGGAATCTTTTTCTCTGCTCTGGTCTAAAGTATACTGATAAACGCTTTGTTGGCATTTAAAAAAAAACGTAGTCTTCCTAGAGAGGAAAGATCAGAGATTTGAGCGAGAGAGACAGGCCAGAGAGAAACCAGAGTGAGAGAGAAACCAGAGAGAGAGAGAGACCAGAGAGAAATCAGAGATACAGCAGAGGGACAGGCCAGAGATACAGTAGAAAGAGAGACCAGAAAGACAGTAGAGAGAGACCAGAGAGACAGTAAGAGAGAGCCCAGGTAGACAGTAGAGAGACAGATCAGAGAGGGAGAGAGCGAGAGAGAGACAGTAGGGTGACAGACCAGAGAGAGTAGAGTGAGAAACCAGAGGGAAAAACCACAGAACAAAATCCTGTTTCCAGACGGTGATCCAGCAGTTTATATAATCTTCCAACAGAGGGCGCTCTTTGGCAGCACAGTGAGGCGGATTGATAATATGTATTCAACGAAAATACGAAATCAGATGTACTAAAATGTACAAATTAAACCAGAACATAACATTCAAATACAGACAAGGTGATTAGGCGTAGTCATAATTGGCTTGTATAGCATTTTATATTCACTCATGAACTCCACTTGAGTTCATATATGGCCCTGTGCCACGAACATAAAGTAACCATTATTACAAGCTCAGAGTGTCATCCAGCCAACCTAGGCCCCTCAGAGTAGGCCCATGATACCTCGTTCTGAAACTCAGGATCTTTGAAATCTAAACTGTTGTTTCCCACTGGTGTCTTCTCTCTCTCTCTCTCTCTCTCTCTCTCTGGTCTCACTATGGCCTCACTATGGCCTAGCTCTCTTAAAGCTGCATTACCTCACTTTATTCTTGTGCTCATTACGAAAATTCAATCCATATCCATGCAATGCATTGGGATATACGTCCTTTTGAAGAAAAAGTAGCGCAGATTTGTGCTGGCGTGTCATTTTATTTTAGATCGAGTTTTTGTGCAACAAGGAAGAGAATGTGTTTCGGGTCCAGATTGTGACCAATCACAGTGGAGTAGGTAATGCAGATTTAAGCCTCTCTGGTCTCTTTCTCTCTCTGATCTCTCCCTGATCTCTTTTTTTGTTCTCAAGATATATGAAAACCATTAACAGACGCAAAAGTTTTGAGTGCAAAGAACAAGTCGCATACATTTTAGTAGTTTTAAAGTTATGTCCCTTATAGACAAAGCAGCGTGTTTAAACAAAACACAAAAAACTCTCTCTGGTGAATAATAGATGTTGTTTTCTTACCTTTTCAGAGCAGATCTCGTCTGAATCTCCTGCAGATGAATACACTGGAGCGAGAGTCTTTCATAAATCATGCAGCTTCTTCCCCGCGTCATGACGGACACACGGAGCAACACACGACGTAGAATTTCTCTTTTTATTTTTTAGAGTGAAGCTATAAATAACACAATGACAAAGGATTCCATGTAGTAATGAGGTTGTATACTGCGAAAAGCCAGTCAATTAAAATAATGAATGTGTGTGTGTGTTTGCCCGTGTGTGTGTATGAAGCTCTCTACGTGGTTGGTTTAAAGCTGGGGGACGTAACTTTCAAACCGGAGCACTTCTCCTTTAAGTGGCCGAAGCAAATTCCCAGTAAAAGGCTGGAGGCTGTAAATAAGAACAAACTATAGATTCTATGTCCGAACATGAGCTCTGGGCCGGAAATAGAGGGATAGTTTAATAAATCGCATGAAAACCTGGTGAGTCAATAATTTGGATTATAACGCAAAGACCAGAGAAAGACCCGAGGGACAAGAGAGACCATAAAGACCCAAGAGACAAGAGAAAGACCAGAGAGAGACCTGAGAGAAGAGAAAGACCAGAGATTCGACAGACCAGAGGGAGAATAGAGAGTGACAAGAGAGAAGAGAGATTTGAGAGACAAGAGACCAGAGATAGAAGAAAGGCTCTATGTGGGGTTTTTTTTCATTGCATTTCTTGTGTTTGAACCGTTTGATTCTCTGATCTGTGATGAGAAATCAGCGGTTTTGTAAAGTCCTCAGAGATAACTACTGTTGACATTATGACAGGCTGTACAAGAATAAACTGAATTGAATTGATTTGAATTGAAGAGGGTAGAGAGAGGCCAGAGACGAGAGAGAGAAAACAGAGAGAGGCCGGAGAGAGAGACCAGAAAGAAACCTGAGACAAACCAGAGGCAGATCAGAGAGAGACAACAAAGAGATCAGAGACCAGAAAGAGAGAAGACACATGTTCTAATCAAATATAGATAGGCAGATACTTTATTGATCCCCGTCGGAGAAATTCAGTTGTCCAGTAGCAGCAAAAATTAAAACAATAAAATGTATAATTCTACAAAGCTAACAATAGTAATAATCAGCAACAGCCCTTTAGGTCACAGCAGCAGAGATGTACCACAGTCTTTGATATAAAACCATTTATTATTGTTACATCTTTCAAATACATTTTACACACGACTCATTCACACTGAAAAAACTCACACGCTGTTTTTGATCGGACAAAAAGTTGCACTAATAAAAAATCACCATCGAAGAGACACAAAATTAAGGCAAGTTTGTCATTGTTTCCCCTTTTTACAAATACTCAAACGTCACAAATGAATCCAAAAAGGCACGAGGCTGATAGAAAAGTAGATATATACCATGCAGGCACGTTGTATCAGAGGAATGGGTCATAATTCTACTTCTTATGCGGTTGTTTATGGCTTTAGGTTCTCGCAAGCTTCAAAATTAAGTCTTTGGTACAAGAAAAAACGTATTTCAAAACGTGATCGTTCTGCTTTGAAAGGAAAGCGTTGTAGCAAAAAGTAAAAAAATCAGACTTGGCCAAAAACTTTAGATACATAACGTTATTTACAGTGTCGTAATACGAGGAGATAAAAATAGATTTTATTGAGTTGTTGGCACTGGGCTGAGATGGGGTCCTGCGGCTCAAAGCATGAAGGACTGGGTGTGTTTGAAGTCCTGGAAAAGAAATAGAGAGAAAAGGTTTTAAGGAATTAGAAATGGTGAAGAAACATGGGGGACAAAATAAGTCTTTTAAAGTTATGAGTACCCAGCACCAGAGGGAGGACAAAGAGAGACCAGAGGGAGACCAGAGAGAGACAAGAGAGAGGAGAGAGAACCTTGAGAAAGGCCAGAGAGGAGAGAGAGACCAAACAAACCAGAGGGAGGGCAAAGATAACAGAGAGAGAGACTAGAATGAAACCAACGAGAGACCAGAACGACCAGAGCGAGATCAAAAGGACCAGAGTGAGGAGAGAGAGACCAGAGAGAGGAGAGAAAGACCGTAAAGAGGAGAGAGAGATCAGAGAGAGGAGAGAGAGACCGTTTATAATTGATTCGCCCTATATTTCCCGCTGAAGATATTTCACATTTTAAGACATGACAAACAGTCTATTTCTCCTTTAACACCAGTTCCTATACTGAACGTCGGCTGCTTCAGGATCAGAAGTACTCAAAACCTCCGGCTACATCCTTAGCCTGTTCTCGGAGGTTCAATCTAATCTGCAGTCGAGGATAACCACATTACAATGGGGCTGTTGTGATGGGGCATCAGGGGGAACTGCTCATGTCGCCCATAAAACCAGGATAAAAGTGGACACATGTGATTTAAGAGCAGAGTTAGACAGATACAGACTCAACCCAAGAGCCTGTTTATGATGGGAGATAGTGCAGGGAGGGCCGGGAGAGAGAAACAAGAGGGAGAAGGAGAGCACAAAGAAAGAAAGAGAGCAAAGAGAACAGAACAAAAGAGAGAGAGACCAGAGAGAAAGACAAGAGAAAGACAAGAGAGCTGTTTTCAGTATCTTTCTAATACACAGTATGCATATAAGTAAGTCAGTAAGTAATCTTTATGTATATAGACTACTCCTACTGCTACAAGCTACAATCCTGCATTTCCTCTTTGACAAATCCTCTTCCCAGTTGAGGTCCACTTCCCTTTGTTTGTTCGATTTCAAAATAAAAGCCCACTTCCTGATTTTCCTCGTCCTCAGTGAAACGCGAGCCTCAGTATCGAGTGTCCAGTCAGCTCTGCGTCTCAGCGAGGTCACACCAAGGAGAAAGAAAGTACATAAACCTGAGTCTCACCTCCTGCGGCGGAGGGATGTAGTTGACGTTGGACCTAGAGGAGAAAAAATGAGAAAAATTAGGGGTGATGAATGGAGGGAAGTGTAACTTGAAGCGTTTTTCTGACTCATGGTTGGATTAATAATGCAGACGACACTCCCCTTCAGCTACAACGCAAAAGTCACATCTGAGTGATAGCCTTTAATAAGAACCAGATTATCTCAGATTATAACAGACTATAAAGACATATGGGATCAATTACAGAAGTACAGCTGGTATAATGCACTGACCTGGTTTAGACCTGGTTTAGACCTGGTTTAGACCTGGTTTAGACCTAGTTTAGAACTGGTTAAGACCTGGTTTAGTTCTGGTTTACTTACTGCGCCAATGGCAAATATGAGAATTCTCTCAGATTCCTTAGATGGAAAAATAGGAAATAAATATTGATTTTCAAAATATATTCTTTGAAAGCTTTGAAGTCTGTTGTGTTTGTCCTGGTTTAGACCTGGTTAGGTCCTGGTTTAGTATTATTTTACACCATGTTTAGTCCTGGTTTACTCCAGGTGTTATCCTGGTTCAGTCCTGGTTTCATCCTGGTTTAGTCCTGGTTCTCACTTAAATCAACTCAACATCGCAAGCCAAAATAGCTCCCAAACACAGACCCCTCGCTCCTGATTGGCTCTGCAGTTGCTATGAGGTTGCTATGAAGCCTTCCTTGTGACTCACATGTCGTCTGGCCGGTGCAGCGTTTGGTCGGAGGCTTCGCGACACTCTGTAATCCAGAACGACCTGTAGGGGGCAGTGTTTCAGGGCCAGTTCACTCTCACAGGTTTGGGCTTTGACATGTATAATAAAAAAGATCTGATTTGGTGCAATCAAAACTGCTGGGAATGTGATTGTTGTGTGATTGAGAAGTATGTTGTAAAGTATGTAGTAAAAATTGAGTTCTATGATGACATCACAGGAGGGAGACTTTTATAAAGCAAACATCCTCTCCTCTCATTGTTAACACTAATTCTATCAAATATAGATCTTATGCATTTTACAATAAAAAAAACAACTAAATCATGTATATTAAGACGAAAAAGTAAATACAAGAAACGAGATGGAATGTGTGGGTTGTTTTGGATGGAAAGGGCTTTTTGGATTTTTTGTTTTCATTATGGAATATTTCCAATCTTAACATCTAATAGAAATGTACCAGAAATATTCGGGCCCTTTGCAACCCGTATGAGTGCTCTATGATGGAGGAAGCAGTCGTGAGGCTGGTCATACTCTGTGAGATGTGAGACTTGGAGCCCACTCGTCGTGCTCAGGGAACCAGGGGAAATGTAAAAGCAGCACTTCAAACACTCATGCAGCAGTCCGCCCCAGGAGCCACATGCACCCACCTCCCAGACCGGCTTTAGAGCTCTTCCAGACCTGATTTAGAGCTCTCCCAGACAAGCTTTTGAGATGGAATACAACACACTGTTGTTGTGCATTCAAAATGTCATGTTTTAGAATGTGAAATATTATCTTCAGTAAAAAAAACTATGGTGAGAAAGAGAGAGAGACCGGAGAGAGACTAGAGAGAGACCAGAGACAGGCCTTGACATTAAGCTTTGTCAGCCACTTGCCCCTCGGGCAAGTACCATTTATATTTTACTTTCCTAATGTCAAAAGTTACTTTCCCAAATATTTCTCAATACAATGAGTTAACAAGAGTTTGGCACTAACTGTGTGGAAAAATATATAAAAACACCACTCTCGGCCCAAAAAGTAAAATAATGACTCAAAGGGATATTAAGTATGCAAAATAAAATACAAGACGGCCAATGTTTGTGTTCTATTTGATTCATTTTTACTTTTGTGCACAACCAACATTAATTGTTAATGCAAGCGAAAATGCAAGCTTTAATTTCGTGAGTTTTGGTTGCGCTTGGGGAGGAGACACACAGCGAAGACCTGCACTTACAACAAACTAGTTCTGTCCACACGACTATGGTCCGTGCTTGGTACCATGTTACAACTGTGCGTTTGCTGAGCTGGTGTCAAAGTGGCTATCATTACAAAGCGGCTGCAGTTGCTCCCGGGTTAGAACAGAGGATGTGAATTCCATTCAAGTACGTAAAGAAAACAACAAGTACACATGGTCACACAACGGAAAAAAGTTGGAAATTGCCGACTTTTTGTCTTTGCTCTCTCTCTAGTCTCTGGTCTTTTGGTCTATCTCTCTGGTCACTCTCTCTCGCCTCACTTTTTGCAAACGCTATTTTTAGAACACATAAGCCCCGCAATGACCCCATATAGTATTAGTATTTGCATACATTTGCGTTGTTTATTTGTTGATATTGAATTCCGACACTCCTCTCACCACTTGTCCACTCCAGTCTACTCCAACCAAGAGAGTACTATCGTAATCTGAGTAATTTCACCTTGTTTGGATGTTATTTGCGGCGTGGTCCACAGAGACAGTAGATTAGGGCCTGGGTTATACGCTCTTCTCCGTCGTCACTATTTATAGACCAAAGTCTTTCCCTCCTCTTCCTCTTCGTCCTCCTCGACAATGACTTGATTTTTAATGTCACACTGAGCTCAAAGCGAAGGCTAAATTACAATTCTCTTTGTTGAATTGTCAAACGTGTGAAAAGACTCATTTTTAGACCAAGGTTGAAATTTGTTAAAAATGAAAGAATGATGTCTGTAGCCCTGTTTCCACCAGCTCTGCTCTGCTTGACTTTACTCTAGTCTACTTTACCCTATTCTACTCTACTCTTCTCTGCTCTACTCTATTCTTCTCTACTCTACTCTACTCTACTCAACGCCAATTGAGAGTGGCCCTGTTTAACCAGTACAAGGTCCTTCTTTAGTTCCTCTTGGTCCTGATTCTATCCAGGCTGAGCTGGTGCTAAAGTGTTCTAACATTGGTACTAAAGTGGTCTTCAACAGAGATTGGCCAGAGTGCTACTGGTTACCACGAAATTTAGTTTGTTGTGAGTAAGATGCTAGGATACGAGGGCCAGTTACTAAATCATGATGGAAACTCAACCGGTAAGAGTAGAGCGGAGTAGAGTATAGAAGTGTCATCGTATTTCAAAACATGTAATCTTATGTGTAAGAAATATTTGACTCTTTGGGCTGAGAGCTTATTGGCTGAGTGAGGGTGGTCCTCTCTTTGTCACGTTTCTGTCTGAAAAAGCTGAAATAAAGATATGATAGATACATGAAAATTATTGTATCTTTTGTGTGGCCTGAAAGTTATGTACCCCAGCTTTAAATGAGGATTTGCCAATGGAACAAAAGTGACTAAACCAGGTCAGCTCTTTAACAAAACCAGGACTAGTAAAGGTTAAAGGAATTATACATATTTCCTGCAATTTTCAATAGGAGGTTATCGTTTCATCTTTTTTTTTTTATAATATAAGATTATAATAACATAACAAAAAAGTCCTTTAAACCTAGTAATAATTGCATATTTTAGCTTAATTTCTGTGTTTGCTCCTTTTGCACGCTTCTTCATACCTCGTGTAATCTGACCACATCTGTAATCCAGATTACACAGTTTATAATTGCCTCCAGTCTGCAGAGTTTCCTTCTGTTGATTAGACTTCACGAATGAGGCACTAATTACTTCTGCTCAATCAGAGAAACAGAGAAAGTGACCACAGCAGAAGACTGGAGTACTTTTGTGGGAGTAGGGTTTGCAGCAAGTATTTGTAGTATTACTAGTAGGAGTGTGACAATATATCGATATATAACGTGATACTTTCTCCCGCGATCAATTATTGATATGCATTTGCCAAGTATTGATTTTGAAAAAAAAAAATATATATATATATATATTTTTTTTTCATTCTTTTTTTTTAAATTTGTATTAATACTCAATATATGACTACATTACACATCTCCATTCCATTTATCATGAAGTGTATTTTTTCACTTAACATTTTTCTTTTATTTATGCCACAAATTGGCATATGGTTTCATTTCTGACCAATATATCGATAATCGTCATATCGTGATATAATCGTTATCGTGAGCTTTGTATCGCGTATCGTATCGTGAGGTACCCTGAAGTTTCCACCCCTAATTACTAGTATAGCTAAAGTAATATCAAAGTAGATTTCGATGTTTTAATATATAACCACATGTATTTTATGGAAAACTTTTAATTCAAAACCAGATTAATAATCAATATTCAGACTCAAATGTATTTATAGTATCTGTCTACTCTACAGCATCACAAACCCACTGTTTTTACTGTTTGTTAGTATCAGTCACTGTTAGCACACACACTAAGCTAAAGACACAAGCTAAATCCACGTTAGCATTAGCCTCCATGTCTTCTCCTTGTCTCTAATCCCAGATATTAGTCTAGCCACAGCCACGCGTCAATGTTAATGCAATAAAGAGTCACTTACCTCCCTCTGTGTCCTGGGACGGGAGGAGGAGAAGGAGAAAGAGGAGGTTAGAGCGGACAAGACAGAGATTTATTCACTTAAATCCAGTCTGGATTATAGTATACATCCAGGGTTTGAACCATAGACTGTAATTATTAGATGATAATTACCATAAAAAAGTACAGTAAAATGTAACTGTGTCTGAGATTGATAGGATGAGATGCGAATCTGACATGTGTGTAGCAGTAGTGGTAGTAGTAGTAGTAGTAGTAGTAGTAGTAGTAGCAGTAGAAGTAGCTGGAGCAATGGGGCGGGTCCCGGATCAAAAACGTCCATAAACACATGTGCTGACATGCTTCCAATACCACCCCGGGCCGTTGGGGGTGAACCCAGAGAGAGAATTATACAATGCTTTTGTATGGCGTCTTCTTTCCCTCAAAAACGGCTTTACAGGATGGTCCAAAAGTCAGCTCTTGGCCCAAAAAGCTGCCTTCCAGATGTGTGTCAAAACTTCCGCATTTTAAAGCTGCTGTATTAAGGCATCTGTGTAATGTTTGTAACTGCTACTGAACTTTCTTTAAACACTTTATACTTTGATCTTCATTGTCCTAGTGCGTAGGTGTGTGTATGTGTGAATGAATGTTTCTGTCCTTATTTGTTTTTGTTTTGTCTGTTGTTTATTGAATCTATTTACTGTTACACTATACTGTAGCCGCGTTTTATTTGACAACCGCTGCTGCTACTTGTGTTGTTATTTTTGAGGACCCTCTCGAAAACGAGATGATGCATCTCAAGGGGCTATTCCTCGTAATAAAGATAATAATAATAATAATACATCAAACTTATAGAGCGCTTTGGACACTCAAAGACGCTTTACAAAACACAAAATAAACATTGAGAAACAAAATTAAGGAAAGGCAAGCTGAAAGAGGTGGGTTATGAGAAGAGATTTAAAGTTCTGTAGTGAGTCTGAGTTTCTGATGGGTTGAGGGAGTGAGTTCCAGAGAGTGGGGGCAGCTGCAGTGAAGGCTCGGCCCCCCAAGGTTTTATGTTTAGTCCTGAGGGGAGTGAGGAGGTTGGAGTCTGTGGATCTGAGGCGGCGGGAGGGACAGTGATGATGGAGGAGGCCTGTGAGGTAACAGGGGGCCAGGTTATGGAGGAACTTGTAGGTGAGGAGGAGGACCTTGTATTGGATGTGGTCTCTGGAGCGGCAGGTGCGGGTGAGCAGGCGGCAGAGTTCTGGATGTATTGTAGTTTTTGGAGATGGGTGGAGGGGAGACCGAAGAGGAGGCTGTTGCAGTAGTCCAGTCTATATGTCAAACTAACTGAGAGGAGTATATTTTTTTGGATCACTCTAGTTTAGACTCTAAAGACTTTTGAGTGCACTCGTTAAATGAATGGGGCTAGTGCCTGTTAACGCGTGCGCAAATGCTTTTTTCACATTTTCCTGCAGGAGGGGCTGCCTGTGGCCATTTTGAAAAAGCCCCATAGAAGCCAAAAGTGATGGCCCATTAGTTTTCTAAAAGAAGGAGAAAGGCGTGACTACTTCTGTTATAATTTCCAGTCTATTAGAAGGAGTCTTAGTAGCAGTAGTAGCAGTAATAGTAGTAGAAGTAGTAGCAGTAGTAGTTGTAATAGTAGTAACAGTAGTAGTAGTAATAGTAACAGTAGTAGTGTGGTAGTGATAGTATTTACAGTTGCAGTAGTAAGAGTAACTTTAGTAGTTTTAGTAGAAGCAGTCGCAACAGCAGCATTAGTAGAAGTAGTAGTAGTAGCAGGTTTCCAACTACTACAGCGAGAACATGCAAAATCTACAACAGTGACTCACGACTGAAGAAGCCGTTACGATGCAGCAGGACGCCTCCACAGCTGCAGATGGCGACGATGAGTCCGATCACGAGCAGTGCCACGACCACCGCCGTTACATTCACATCCTCTGAAGAAACACAACATGAGAAACAGGAGAAAGTACACAGATGCACAGGAAGTGGAGTAAGAGATGGCTAGAATACATCAGAGAGAGAGCTTGCAGGGAGAGACCAGAGAGAGACCAAAGAGAGATTAGTGAGAGACCAGACAGAGTCTAGCAAAACTGTTGGCAGATGTAGCAACATTTGAGCAAATGCTCGTCATCGGAACAAATTCTATAACGGAATGGGCTCAAGCTAGCTTATGTTCAAATCGGCCTCTTCCACATTCGGACAACACTATGGTGACGTCACACTCAGTCCAAGTCCTAAAACTTAGTCTGTAGTAAAAAGTGAAAACAGAAAAAAATGGCTTATTGTCCATATATTGACATGCTACAATAGCAGCTTTGACCAATGCACTTTCACAGTTCAGATCAGTGCGAACATATAGGTATAAAAATACATTCATTCCTCAGGCCTCTGCTTTATCCCCAATGCCATTAAAAGCAAGATCATAAAATACTATTCTATGTTAGCATTAGGGTAATCCGATTTAGCTTTTAGCAACGAAGATTATATAACTCCTACTATTACTACTACCGCTGCTGCTACTGCTGTTTTGCTATACGGAACACATGGATTAGCTTTTGAATATGGGCTCCTAATGCGTTTTAGCTTTAGCATTAAGTTGTCCATTTGAATTCATAGTAATCCTCAATGCATTTAGCCATGCAGAGATTCAATGCTATGTGTGTATGTATGTGTGTATGTGTGTGTGTGTGTATGTGTGTGTATGTATGTGTGTGTGCTCTAGTGTTATATATATAGTCTGAAGTGTGTTATATCCATTGTCTAAAAAAGTCAGAGAGAGAAGCCTGAGAGAGACCAGAGAGAGACACGAGAGAGACCAGAGAGAGAGAGCAGAAAGAAGTCAGAGAGACAAGACAAAGCACTGAAAGGCTGTGCGAGGGTGGACCCGAGAGAGGCTAGAGAGAGACCAGAGAGATCAGAGAGATCCGAGAGAAAGCACAGAGAGACAAGAAAGAAGCCAGAGAGAAACGAGAGAAAAAGTAAAGAAGCAGAAATTTACAAGAGAGAGTGACCATAGAAAGAGGTCAGAGGGAGAGACCAGAGAGAGACCAGAGAAAGAGATTAGAGAGAGACAAACCACTATGTACCTATTGTCATGTTTTTGGCTTCACACATCTTGGGAGTCCCGATGCCGTTGGAGGCGAGGCAGCTGTAGCGTCCGCTGTCGTCTTTAGACACAGACTTGAACTCCTGCAAAGTAAACCAAAAAAACAACATAATTTAGCTTTTCTTATCTGCAAAATTGCTGCAAATGCACAATACAAACAATAGCAGCTTTCTCCAGTGAGGAAGGGAGTCTGGTGGCGCTGATAACATTGAGTTTACAAAGCACTAGTGAAACCAGGTCCTGCTTGTAACTAGATCCAACCATTTCTACTGCATTTAGCATGTAAGCCTCTAAACAGGATCCTGTCGAGACAAGGCCAGCAGATTCATTTAAGACTGTTGGGAAAACAATGTATCATAACAATATAATAGAATTGTATGTATTTGGGCGCTTATAGGCCACTCCCTCATTTTTATTATTGTGATTTAGGAGGGTTAAGGACATTCAATGATGATCCGGGACATTTATTAACATTTATGGACATTAATCATCTGCCCCTTATGAACCAATGGTGTTTTTGTCATGTTATGTCATTTTCTTCCCCTTAATCCATTTCTGAGTTGGGGTGTCACAATCAGAGCTGCACCACTCCCTCTTCCCCACGAGAAGATGGCTTCTTCGTCATCAAAGACATAGCCTTGGTCTTTCAGCGGGGGCTTCGTGGGGGGTTACGTGTCTTGCCCAGGGACACAACGAAAGCGGACATCAGAGGGAGCTCGAACCCACAACCATTAGGTTAAAAGACCATTGCTCAACCAACTGAGCCCCTGTCACCCCCAATGGTGTTTTTAACATTGCATTTTCTGTGCTTAAAATGTTTGATTTTCTGATCTGCGTTGTTGAATTGACAACTTAGTGAAGTCCTCAGAGATGACTGCTGTTGTGATTTAGGGCTAAACAAAAAAGTATTGAATTGAATTTAGTTGTGATGAAGTAGACAGTCCCTGTGCATGACACAAGGCTTGACAAAATGTTACATATTAATTTTGTTCATCATGTATACTGAGACAGTTCACTTTGTCATTTCATGTTTTAGAATGTGTAATAATGTCTACAGTAAAAAATACATGGTGAAACGTGAAGAGTAAAAGCTCCTTTGTGGCTGTAGCTCCCTACGGTGCCACCAGAGGGAGAGAATTACCAGCTGCAAACACAGACATGTGAAGGAGAGACTGTCAAAACTTGGAGAGAGAGACCAAAGAGAGACCACAGTGAGAGACTAGAAAGCGAGAACAGAGAGAGCGAGAGAGAGGCCCAGAGAGAGATCAGAGAGATACAGAGGGAGACCAGAGTGGGACGTCGTAGTGGTACAATGACATCATACACTGAAAAAAGTAAAACATGGCTGTGTTTCATTTGATGATTTTTTTTTTCATCCTAATAGCCTAAACATATTCAATTGTTAAGTAAAATTAAATTTTTTAAATATGATGTCGCCTTCAATCTATTTTTGTAGATTGATACAATATAAAAGTATAAAATAAAAATAAGATTCAAATTATACATTCGATCAAATTACTTTTATAAATCGAGCACAATTCGCGATTGCACACACATGAAATCTGAGAGAAAGTTCTGGACTTTAGTGGACGGTTGAGGAGACTAATTTGCTGTTAAAAAGTTTATGTCTGTAATCTTAAAAGTGTGTTTCATACATTTAATAAATACTGAAAAGAATGTTTGGTCTGAGTTACTTTTTAAGGAAAAAAAATTGAGAGAATCTAAAATTACTAGATTACACTGTAATAAGTGAATCAGACCAAACTTTGATGTAAGATATTACTGTACATCAAAATAATAATAATAATTACTATATACTTCATTTCCCACTATTTTATATTCTTGGTTGACAAATAAGTATTGTATAACATTATCATAGTAGCCTGTACAATACTGAATTTATTGCTTTAAGTGAAAATACTTCAAGTATTTATTTTGTAAGCCTGGTGGTCCATTAATAACAAATCAAATATTTTGTGTTGATTGAAAACAAAATGTGGCAAAGCAGTGACGCTAACCAGAATGCATTGCAGAGAAAAAAATAAACTTCTTAACACAGTTGAGCATTAATTTTAAGAGTGAATATGAAGTAAGTCCTAAAGCAAAATAATTGAGCAACATTTTGAATAAACTAATTGATCAAATAAGTAATTGTATTTATTTTTACCAACCGTGATCGACAGGACCAAGCCAAAGCAAGCTACTCCATGGGTTCCCTTGATAACAATCAGATGCTTCTAAATAGTCACTATGCTTCCACGAAACTCAATTCTAACAGAGTTAGAATAATAGCATTATTACTTTTCAGCATGAGTGTACTTAAGTCCAGGACATAACTATATGGTGATTACAGTATCTAACAAACATCCTCCAGGTGGAAGATAAAAATACACTTGCAATTGAGATCAACTCTGTAAAAACCCTTCTTTTACACTCAAGCCAATTTAGTTTTCTTATTTACACCAAATTCAGAAGAGAGTTTGTATGAAATGCATGCATTTTTCATATATTTGAGGCCAATGTAAAATATTGACTCACACCACATTAAGAAAATGCAGAAATTTAGATTGAACTGAATGCTTTCTGAACCTTAGATCAATGTATAATCTTTATTGTGAATGTTTACTCTAATTTTATTAAGTTGATCCAGTGTTTCATTTATTAAAGTGTACTATTACAGGACTGAAACAGAAGCTTTGAGACAGAAAGGGGCGGAGCTACACTTTGTGCTTCCTGATATTAGCATGGATGGAGCTAAATACGGCTCCAGTGGACTTGTGTGTGTGATTACCAAGACTCCGGTGTGAGAGTTGAGGACGTAGGTGTCGTTGGGGTGGCGGGGCGAGCTAATTGGATGAGAGTCTTTGAACCAGGAGTAGGTGGCAGGAGGGATGCTCTGATGGTCGTGACATTGCAGTCTGACCACAGAGCCGGTCACTGCTGAGGTGGGAATCTCACATGAGGGAGTGTGAGGGGGAACTGGAACAAGAGAGACAGGGGTTAGAGAGCGAGAGAGCAGAGAGAGAGCCGAGAGAGAGGGACCAGAGGGAGACCAGACAGAAAAAACAGAGAGAGGCAGAAGGGAGAGACATTCTAATCCTGAGATGCATCTTTGTCTCGTGTCTTATTGTAACACATCTTTCATTTTAACCTAGAAACTAGAGACATGACATTGATGTTACACATTTAGAGTTATTCAGATTCAGATTGACATTATTTGCAAACTAAAACCACATTGAATCACGAGTACAAAAGTTAGCAGCAGTACTTGTTATAATAATAATGCACTTTATTTCTAACACACCTTATGCAAACATATCTTGAGGTAATGCAGCAAGTTAAAAACACTATCAAAACATCAGAATGAAATCAAACAGTAGCATCAGCAGCAGCAGCAGCAGTCTTACCCAGCACTTTGAGAGTGATGTTGGTCTCTCCCAGGCTCACAGAGTCCAGAGGAGCACTGATCTCACATCTGTATTCTCCGGCGTCGTCCTGAGTCACTCTCTGCAGTGTGACCGTTGCTCCGTCGATTGTCGCTCTGCCTTCAAATGGACCTGAACAAACACAGAAAATATAGTTATAAAGCATTTATGAAATCACAATAGTTCCTTAAGCGTCTGGAGTTCCTCTTATAATGGCTCGAAAGTTGGTTTATTATCAAAGACAGTAAAAAGCTTAAGCCCTCCATCCATCCATCCATCCATCCATTCTCTACCCCTAAATCCATTTCTGGGGCAGGGGGCGGCCATAGATGCTACCCAGTACACAGCACCGGCCCCTCACTGATCTTCCTGCAGGCATCAGTGGGAGTCGGTGGAGAAGGTCTCGTGGTGGGCTCGAACCATGGATCTATTATAATAACTGGATAGAGTATTACTAGCTTGGAGCTGAAGAACCCATGTGCTGGGGGATTCTCGCGGTACTGCAGACTAAACCAGACTAAATTCACGTGGGCCACCCAGAAATTTTGCCCATAGAGCTCAATGTAAACTAAACAGCGCGACCTCAGCTGACAGAGAACCTACAGCTTTCATAAAGTCGGATTTTGTGTGGATTTTAGTGTTCCTTGTCATCCTGAACTTTTTTTCTTCTTAAATCCTTTGGTTTTCTTTAAATCCACACTTTAGTGCCACAAACTCTGCCCGTCTGGCCCCATGGATCTTTGCGAGTTCCATGCGAGTTCCGCTAATCTTTCGGCGCCCATACTGGCACAATGCGCCACTGAGCACAAACCTTTCATTTGAATACGGCGCCATCTTGGAACGCCGGGGCTTGGCTCAAACTCACAACCCTCAGTGCCACAAACTCTGCCCGTCTGGCTCTCGCTCTAACTCCCGCTCTGATGAACTGCTCTGATTGGTCAGAGCGCGGCCGAGCCCCTCTGTGCACGTGCATGAGACCCCGTGTGAGACCCACACACGCAACGTATCATGGGAGATAGTGCAACGCATCATGGGAGTTCATCCACTGCGCAGAACCGGGAGGACCAGACGATGCCCAAATATAGACAAGTTTCCCATGGAGTTCCAGGCAACTTCCGCTAATCTTTTCGGCACTCATGCCGGCACAAAGCACCACTGAGCACATACAGTACATTCAGTTGAATACGGCGTCATCTTGGATCGCCGGGGCTTGGGTTATGCTAATATATTTCCGATTTTGATCAAATCCAACACAAAATCAATATACGTAAACAGGAGCTGGAATTGACCTGGTTTAACTAATGTGAAGCTAACGTTATGCTAACATCTGTTTTAAGATAAGATGAGATAAGATATTAAGCAATTTATTAATTTATTTATTTGACATGGACAGTATTAAAAAAATTGTCCTCCATAGGTAACCAATGTTAACTACAAAGGGCTGATATTATTCTAATGTAAAGCTAATGTGAAGCTAACATTATGCTAACATCTGTTTTAAGATCAGATGAGATAAGATATTCCTTTATTTGTCTCAGTGGAGACATTTCAGTGTCATCGTTGCGCACATTACAGCAGAAAGAAGCACTTAGATTGCACACATCAAATAGAGTCTATTATTTAACATAATAGACAGATATAAGTTACATGACAGAATTGGGTGTGTTCACAGTAAAGTATCAATTAAAGTATCTGGACTTTAAAAGGTTATAACTCAAAAACTAAATTTACTTTGATAGAATGGGGAAAAAAAGTGTGTGGATCCAATCAAAGGGAAAGATTGACAAAAACATTTTTGGCGAGATTTTAAACAACCAAATCACCCTGTGAATTGATCATTCTACTATAAAATAAAAGGTCCTCAGTCGGAAAAACTCCCACAAGATTAACATGGCTCATGGCTAGCACAACATCAGTAAATCACTTGATTTAAAAAGGAATCTTTTTTTTTTATCTATGCAAATATAAATGTCCTGAAAATTTTTAAACGGACGTGATCGTTTCCGTCAATTATTTCATACAAATTTAACTTGCAAAAAAAAAAAAGATTGTGAAGAAAGAAAAATAAACAGGGCCGCTGTAGGAAACTTATACTAATTTATAAAACAGTTATCTTCTAGCAACTTCTAATGGACAGAAGAGGAATTTGGATAAATGAAAAACATATTATATCTTCTGATTATTAATATCTAATTTTTGGCCTTTTGTCACACTTTTGTACCCTTTAGTGCGAAGGAGCCCAATAACGCAGAAATATTGGTGACCAGTGAACGGTCTGTGCTGCTGCCGGGTTGTTGAAATGATTCTCGTTCATTTTTAAAGCCAACTAAATCTATATTTACTGCGATGGAAAGGTACATTAGTACATTACGAAGATATATAGGACGTCTGCATTAGGATACTTCTCTTCTATCCTATTTCCTCGTCCCCTCATCTCCTTCACGCTACTGAGCCGGAGCTAAATAATAAATTGTAGCTTTTTAGACATTAGCCGCGTCGCTAATAGAGCGAACAGAACGTTGGGTCTAAAGGCACCTGTCAGAAGAAAGATAAAAAGCTTTTTCACCACAGCAGACAGTAGATTTTTATCCAGAACAACAGTGGGAAAGGTTGGTGTGTTGTTTGGACCCTTGTCAGCTTTTCATCATGGGGAATCTTTCAGAATAAAAGGGTCAAAACAAACTTCTGGCTTTCAAAATAAGACTTTGAGAGTTTAAGTGCAGCCAGGACAAGAGGGACACCAGAGAGAGATATCAGATAGAGACCAGAGAGAGAGAGACCAGAGAGGGACCAGAGAGGGACCAGAGAGGGACCAGAGAGAGAGAGAGACCAGAGACACATTTCTTTAGCCTACTACTACAGCTGCTGCTACTAGCAAAAGAAACAATGCTAAATGTAACTTGTTAGCAGTAATATTCTCATTGCTCTTGGGTGACAATGATAAAACGTCAGTTTTGTTTTGTGGGTCAGATACAGAATAATTGCTTCGCTGGCGGACCATCTGTTCAAACCGCTTCAGGTGTAAGAAAGCTGAAAGGTGGACATCATCACACAGAGGTCAAACTCTCAAAGACAAACAGAATGCATGATTTGGGTTAATTTAGGCTCTAAATCTATTATTCATGTGAACACTTTTTCAAGGGGTTTGCAAAAGTATTATTAGACAGAAAAGGGACTTGAATTTGGGAAAATGTCTCTTGATTTGAATTTATTATCTCTGGTCTCTTTCTGGTTTACCTTTGGTCTCTCTTTTCTCTCTCTCTCTCTCTCTGGTTTCTCTCTTCTCTTTCTCTCTCTCTGGTCTCTCTTTGGCCTCTCTCTGGCTACTCTCCGCTCTCTCTCTGTTCTCTCTCTTGCCTCTCTCTCTAATCTCGCTCTTGTCTCGTCGAATGCGAGACGACAGCTCGTTCTCACCTCTGAAGTGTCCGTCAAAGTACACAAAGGACACGTCGCGCCCCCTCTTCTTCCACTCAATGCGTGGGTTCTGGTCCCTCTCCGTCTTGTACAGACAGGACAGCACCGCGTCTGTGTGTCGATAAATAAATAAAGAAAACACAAGAGGAAAAACAGCAGATCTATTTAAGGAGCAAGAGACAGCGTTGGTATTTATAGATGACGGTTTGACAGAAGAAAGAGCCTATTTTTACACTTTTATTTTAGGATTAATGGAGACGAACAAATAATGCAGAATTGAAATGAGGAGCTCTCATTTGCGTATCTGTAAATAACCAAACATTGTCCTGTTTCATGTAGTGTCTACTGTATAGGATTTGTTTTAGTTTATTCCAATAGAGAAGACAATGCTAAATGAACAAAAGCCTTTTGAACATATTGTCGAATAATCTACTTATATTTATGCTTTGTTTAATAATCCCAAAGAAAAAGGACACAAACGATTGACCCTCTTAAAGTCAAAAAGATTTGGAATAGAAGAGGACGTGTGTGTGTTTCTTTTTTATGTTTATTTGAACAGAATTAATTCTGCTCAAAAGGAGCGGCCTGAAACAACAAACGATAGTATATATGAGTGCATTGGACAGTGGATTAGAATTATTTTCATTGCAGTAAGAAACAAAAAGTCACAAACGAGGAATTTGCTTTGGCTCAAGGTGAAAACAAGTTATAAGAGTAAAAATAGATACATGAAAAAAAAAATCGTCATTCAGAGCCATATACCAGGCACTGGTCTCTAAATGGTCCCTAACTGGTCTCCCTCTGGTCCCTCTCCGGTCTATCTCTCGTCCCTCTCTACTCCCTGTCTCATCCTTCTCTGGCCTCTCTCTCTGGCCTCTCTCTGGTCTCTCTCTGGTCCCTCTGGTCTCTCTCTGGCCTCCCTCTGGTCTCTCTCTGGCCTCCCTCTGGTCTCTCTCTCTGGCCTCCCTCCGGTCTCTTTCTGGTCCCTCTGGTCTCTCTCTGGTCTCTCTCTGGTCCCTCTGGTCTCTCTCTGGCCTCCCTCTGGTCCCTCTGGTCTCTCTCTGGCCTCCCTCTGGTCCCTCTGGTCCCTCTCCAGTCCAAAACCCACTACTCAACATCAGAAGTCGTTTAAGAGCTTGCATTGGAATATAAATTTCAGTCTGGATTCCACTGTTTGACTTGTATAAAGCCAGTGTTTGTTAGTTTTATTGTGAAGTCTTTGCTTTGATGATGATGTTGTTGTGAGCTCTCCGTCCGACAGTGAAGCACAAAGAGTAAAAAAAAAAAAATATATATATATATATATATATATATATATATATGGATGTCATGCATACAACATTTTCATTCATAGGTAATCATCAGGGTCTGTAACTAATTGTAAATATACATATCCCCTTTATATATACTGTAATTTTTACATACTGTATATGTTACAGTATAGATATATTTGTGTTCAGAGAGAGCAGAGGTTATATTTAGCTCAAGTTTGACTGAAACTCACCTGAAAACTCCTTCACTTCCACTTTGTGTCGGTTACTGGTGACAGTGACACATGCCGACGGACAACCTGCAAAAGAATCATGTGACGTCACTTAGATGTGTGAAAGACAAAGTAAATAAGTTCACAAATAGACATGTGCAGACAGGACGCTCCAGTGTGGGGGGGACTAGGACTTTCTGGTCTCTCTCTCTGGTCTCTCTCTAATTCATCTGTAATCTCTCTGTGGTTTCTCTGGTCTCTCTGATCTCTCTCTCTCACTGGCCACTCTTGTCTCTCTTTTTGGGCTCTCTCTCGCAGCAGAAGTTGTAGCAATAGTAGGAGTTTGTAAAGACACCTTGAGTGTCTAGAAATATGCAAAAGAAATGTAATGTATAATTAATTATGAAGATTATTATTTTTATTATTATCAGAACTAGTAGCAGTAGTAGAAGCAGCAGTAGCAGTATGTGGACCAATAACAATAGTGGTGGTTAAATGCTTTATAACTTTCAACCTAAACTTTTTTGTTTTAAATCTTTTGCCAATTATACATTTCAGTTTAATGAATAATGACTTAAAAATAATGAGCTTGGGAGAACGTCAGTGTAAACAATAGTGCTGTGTGTCTCTTTTAGGCGAGTGGGATTAAGCCTCTGTAATCCCAGGTTTTAAGACGTAACTCTCCGTATGTTTGTTTGGACTCAGTCTGGTGCAGCGAGGCGGAGGTCACAGATTAAAACAGTAAGCGCGGGCATTTTCCCTGCGCTGTGATTGGCTGGGGGTGAGAAGTGGGCTTGTCTAGGTGAACCGTAGAGCAGGAAAGTCCAGGATGCAGAGGGTTTAACACAGAACTGACAGATTAGTCTCAGTATGAACGAGAACCTGTCTCACTCGCATTTAGCAAAGACTGGAATTATTAAAGTTCTTTGCAAGTTTATTTGTAAAGAAGAAGTCTCTCTGGTCTCTCTCCCTGAACTCTCTCTTTAGTCTCTCTTTCTGGTCTCCGTCTCTATTCTCGCTATTTTCTGATCTTTCTCATTGGTCTCTCTCTCTGGTCTCTTTTTCGTCTCTCTCTATTTCGTGACTCTGGTCTCTCTCTACTCTGTCTCCCTACATGTTTGACCATTCATACTCTCTTGAACACATCTCTGCTCCTGTCTCTCTCCTTCTTGTCCTGATCTATCTTATTCCTACTTTCCCATGACCACACGCCTTTGTTCTTTAATTAAAGTGAATTAAAAAGTTTCTGAGTCAAACTTGTTTCAGCCTCCTCTGTCTTTCCCTTGGGGCCCATTAACATTTATTATCTGCTCTTTTTTCCCAGAGATGCGCTCTTTGCCTCCGGACCCAGGATCTTTCTTAATTTGTTCTGCAGTTTTAAAGCTGCTTTTTTCGCTCCTCAAATCAGGTCAGTACCAGGAAGATTGTGAAGTGGATTAAACGTATCGAGCGCAGGGATAAGCAGAGTCCAAACAAGAAGAGAGCTTTACTTATGTGACCGATACATGCAGGTGTACACATGGTCTCTCTCTGTGGTCTCTCTCTCCGGCCGTTCTCAGGTCTCTCTTACTAGTCTCTCTCTTATCTCTTCCTCTCTCTTTCTCTCTCTCATATCCCTCATCTCATCTCCTCTCTCTCGCTTCTACTATTACTACTACTACCATTACTCCTCCTCCCCCTGACCCTGGTCTCCTGGCTTGCACCAGTCCTGTCAGTCCCATGTCTCTCTCCTCTGGCAGCTCAGCCTCTCTCTCCTCTGGCAGCTCTGTCTCTCTCTCATCTGGCAGCTCCGTCTTTCTCTCTCTCCTTCCTCCTCAAACACTCTGGAGGTAACGTAAGCGAGGGCTGTCCGTGGAGATTTCCCCTGCTTTCAATCCTCCTCTCTGGGTTATTTATGCTCCTGTGGGTCCCTCCAATCGCAGCCACCAGCACCAAACCACTCCAGTCCTGGCTATTCTTAGAAACACAGACTTCCCCTGGTCCCATTCAACAATAGGGACTTCGAGACTATAGACATAAATGAAATTCGTAATTCAGAGCCATGTACCACCGAGAAGCTACAACATATAGTATTCTATTGTTTCTAATGTATGTGTGTGTTTTTACAGCACTTTTAGAACCTTGTGTTGGTGAAATGTGCTATACAAATAAAGTTGGTTTTGGAAAGTAACAGTTTAACACAATTTGTCAATTGTTGTGGAAATGCTGTGTCGAAAGTGGTAAAGGTTGGTCTGTTGTTTGGACTCTCAATTATTGTCTCTTGTATGGTCTCTCTCTGGTCTCCCTCTGGTCTCTCTCTGGCCTCTTTCTGATCTCTCTCTGGTCTCCCTCTGGTCTCCCTCTGGCCTCCCTCTGGTCCCTCTCCAGTCCAAAACCACCGACTCAACATTAGAACTAGTTTAAAAAGCTTGCATTGGAATATAAGTTTAACTCTGGATACCACTGTTGGAAATGCATAAAGCCAGTGTCTGTATGATTTATTGTGAAGTCTTTGCTTTGATGGTGATGATGTTGTGGGCTCTCTATCCGACAGTGAAAGCAGTTCTACGCAGAGTTATGCAAATCTCAGGAGTTGGGAAAACTAATTAAAACAAGCGATGGAAAGTGAGTTTGAGAATTAGCATCATAATAAGACGCACAAGCAGAAGCATGTGTGAAGGATGTGGGGACCGATGTCGTGGAGAGGTTCCCAAGGATAGTTAATAAAGCCCCATTTCCACTAGCCCTACTTGCCGCGGCTCAGCTCTACTCTACTTTCAGATAAACCTATTCCGTCAATATACATAAAGCCATTATACAAATTACCTTAAAAAATGTCCTAATTGCTAACCAGCATATTAGCATTAGCCCATTACCATAGACTGCATGTAGATGAGCAATGCTAAACCGGAAGCTCAAGTGAAGCTCAAGCTCAAGTCCAATAGCGAAGTGCTTATAGTGCTAAAGTTTATCTTGAACTCGCTCTGGTTCCTATGGACTTAAATGTAAAAATCTCTCTGAATCTGTGATTCTGGTGCTTATATGTTTTTTTTTAAGGTCAATCCCACGGAAGAAGACAATAAGGACAACCAAATAGCAACCAAAGAGCCAAACAGTTACTCACTGGAAAGCACAATACTAAAACTCTCATTGAGACCAGTATCAATACTTTTTACTAAAACAGGACAAAGTATTTCCTGAACATTGTTTTATGATTTTGAACCAATAGTCAGTTGTAATAAAGGCTGCCTCAATATTTTTGAGGTTGAACTGACGATGTTTTAACGTTTGAACTTGTTTGGACCATCTGAAACCAGAAGGTGCTTGTCTCCACTGATTTAAATTAATGTCCCATCCATCCATCCATCCATTTTCTTCCGCTTTATCCGTTGCCGGGTCGCGGGGGCAGCAGTCTAAGCAGAGACGCCCAGACTTCCCTATCCACACACACTTCCTCCAGCTCGTCCGGGGGGACCCCAAGGCGTTCCCAGGCCAGCTGAGAGACATAGTCCCTCCAGCGTGTCCTAGGTCTTCCGCGGGTCCTCCTCCCGGTGGGACGTGCCCGGAACACCTCCCCAGGGAGGCGTCCAGGAGGCATCCGGAACAGATGCCCGAGCCACCTCAACTGGTTCCTCTCAACGTGGAGAAGCAGCGGCTCTACTCCGAGCTCCTCCCGTGTGACTGAGCTCCTCACCCTATCTCTAAGGGAGCGCCCAGCCACTCTGCGGAGGAAGCTCATTTCGACCGCTTGTATCCGCGATCTCGTTCTTTCGGTCATTACCCAAAGCTCATGACCATAGGTGAGGGAGGGAACGAAGATTGACCGGTAAATCGAGAGCTTTGCCTTTCGGCTCAGCTCCCTCTTTACCACAACGGTCCGATACAGAGACCGCATCACTGCGCACGCTGCACCGATCCGCCTGTCAATCTCACGCTCCATCCGTCCCTCACTCGTGAACAAGACCCCGAGATACTTGAACTCCTCCACTTGAGGAAGGACCTCTCCACCCACCTGCAGAGGGCAAGGCACCTTTTTCCGGTCGAGCACCATGGCCTCGGATTTGGAGGTGCTGATTCTCATCCCAGCCGCTTCACACTCGGCTGCAAACCGTCCCAGTGCATGTTGCAGGTCCTGGTTCATTGGAGCCAACAGGACAACATCGTCCGCAAACAGCAGAGATGAAATCCTGTGGTCTCCGAACCGGACCCCCTCCGACCCCTGGCTGCGCCTAGATATTCTGTCCATAAATACAGTGAACAGAACCGGTGACAAAGGGCAGCCCTGTCGGAGGCCAACATTCACCGGGAACAGGTCTGACTTACTGCCGGCAATGCGAACACAGCTCTTGCTCCGGTCATACAGGGATCGGATGGCCCTCAGCAGAGGACCCCCTGCCACACTGCCAAAAAAAAACCACACTGCCCCTCCTGGATCCGAGATTCGACCATCGGCCGTAGCCTCCTCTCCAGTACCTTGGAGAAGACCTTACCGGGGAGGCTGAGGAGTGTGATCCCACGATAATTGGAACACACCCTCCGGTCCCCCTTCTTGTAGAGAGGGACCACCACCCCGGTCTGCCACTCCATTGGCACTGCCCCTGATCGCCACGCGATGTTGCAGAGACGTGTCAGCCAAGACAGTCCTACAACATCCAGAGACTTTAGATAATCAGGGCGTATCTCATCCACACCCGGAGCCTTGGCACCATGGAGGCTACCAACCACCTTGGTGACCTCAGCCAGGGAGATGGATGTATCCGCCCCAACATCCTCAGCCTCTGCCTCTGTAACAGAGGACGTGACGGGGGGATTGAGGAGAACCTCAAAGTATTCCTTCCACCGCCCGACAATATCCCCAGTCGAGGTCAGCAGCTCTCCACCCGCACCGTACATGGTGTTGGCAAAGAACTGCTTCCCCCTCCTGAGGCGCCGGATGGTTTGCCAGAATCTCTTCGAGGCCGACCGATAGTCATGCTCCATGGACTCTCCGAACTCCTCCCAGTCCCGGGTTTTTGCCTCTGCAACAGCCCGGGCCGCGGCACGCTTGGCCTGCCGGTACTGGACAGCTGCCTCAGGAGTCCCCCGAACCATCATGGCTCGATAGGACT